CTCGACAGGTTGCGAAGCCCAACAACCAAGACGTAGTGCTACCTTTCGTTTGAGCAGCGCTGCCCCAATCCATTGTACTAAATGTGGATCTACCTTCAGGTTGACTAGAGTCCTCATGAGGGTGTCATACTGAACTCGGTTGTAGGCATCTTCCAGGTCAAGTGCTGCTACCAGAGTTTCTTCCACCCGTTCGAAGCCATCATATACGTCGGATGCAGAGTGGCAGCATTCATCCATGTGATCTTTCCTCTTCTATAGCTGCCCAGTTCCAGCGGTAAGACATTCTTTCCCCCCAGCTCTATTGCCAATCTGCGTACCACGATTTTCTCCAGCAGCTTCCCGATGGTATTTTGCATGGTGACTATGTGATATGAGGCAATCTTGCTTGGGTCCTTGTCTGGCTTAGGAACTGGGGACAGTTGATTGTCCAGTCAGTCTTCATGTATCTCCCCAGTCCACATGCTTTCGTTTAGCCTCTCGGCTAGTGCCATTGTCTGTCCTTCCTCCATGTTCTTCATGTGGCTATAACACACTCCGTCAGGACCAGGAGAAGTGTTGGATGCTTCCTGGATATATTTATGTAACATTTCGTTTGTCACAAATTGCAGGCAGGGTTCATCTTTGTAGTCCTGTTGGATCCTGTTGAGCAGCTGTTTTCTCTTGTCCTCGTCTTTCGTGTCAGTTTGTCTTAGGTATCTCCTAAACAGAGCACGGCCTTTTTCTTCATCAGTGCGCATCCACATATCATCCTCTTGTTGGAAATCAGGGATATCTTGTTTGCTCTTCCTATTAGTCATGCACCTGTAGAAGTTCCAGAACTGATTCAGGGCCCTGTCACTGTTCACGCCCCGGCAGAAGTTATCATATGCTAGGTCCTTGGCTTCTTTTGCTGCCTCATCGAATCTGAGATATGCTAGCTTTTTCTCAACTTTCAACTGCATGTTTGATCTGTCCCTCTCGTGTCTTCTCAGCGCTAGGCGTTTGATCTTCCACAATGCCTCAGTCTCTTCATTCCACCAGGGTGGCTGCTGTGCCAATACTCTATGCTGTACTCTGGGTGGCCTGGAGCTCTTTCGCAGTACACAGATGGGGTCGTTGGCTTCAGCGGGGTAGAAGAAGACTCATTTCTGTCTTTGATGTTAGCTGTTTCTTCCTCGCTTTACAAACACTGTGCATGGGATATGATAGCTGCTATAGTTGTGTAATACTCTCCATGTACAGTCTGTTGTTAGGTCTACCGAGACGAGTGTAACGTCTATAGCACTGTCGCAGTCCCCATCTCTTGTGGCTAGTCTGGTCATGCTGCCATTGCTGATGCATGAGAGGTCACATCTGTCTAGGGCATTTTCCAGTCTTGTCCCTTGGGGGTTTATCACTGTGTTTCCCCAATCACTCTCTCGCGCGTTGAAGTCGCCACAAAAGATTGTTTTTCCAGGTAGTGTTTCCTCCATCTCGCCAAGTTTGGCCCACTCGTTCTCAGTGACTATCCGGTTGCAGGCGTAGACGTTGACAACATTTCTTACAGGCTGATCAGTGAGCTCCACTGCAAGCAGGTGTAGGTTTTCTGACGCCCATCGGCTCATATCCAATTTCTGATGTCTGATTGCTGATCGTATCAGGGTGACCTGTCCATGCCCTTCCCTTTTGTAAAGAGTCGTTGCAAAGTCGGCAACATTGAAGTTCCTGTCACCTAGTCTGGTTTCTTGGAGGCATATGATGTCTGCTCCGTAACATAGGGTTTCAGCCACGAGCCCTCTCTGCTGCAGACTACGACAATTCCAGTAGAGAATCCTAAGATTACTCTTTCCCTACCGCTGACTCTTTAACTGTGTCTTTCTAGCTCGCGCCCTTCTCTTTCTCCACCCAACCCCTTTTCCCCCGTTTCCTTTTTGGGTTTATTCCCGAAGAGGAGCTCGAGCAAGGAGCACGAACACCGTAGCTCTTGCGAGAACCCTAGCTGTTTATTAATATTAATTAGATCTTTCATTGTGGGTTTGCAAAATACTGAGGAAGTATCCTGTCCATCTAGCAGAGCCTCATACTAGACAAGGGGCTGGGCTAACGATCTTTCCGCTTGATCTATATTATTTTGCGTTCGATGATGATGACTACATATTATTCTATATTATGGCTTTGATAATACAGTCTCTTTAAAATTGATGCCAAACAGCTTCCTTGTTGTTCTTTGTAGTTCAAAGTATTAGGGAAGATCACAGAGGCGTTTAGACAGTAATGATCCATGGATCGGCTTATCTCTTTTCTTTTTCCTTTTTTTGCTGGGAATAACAATATTATTCTATTAAAACTTGTCACTGAAAGATTACCTTACTCTTTTTCGAAGAACAGAAGGATGGAAGCGTTTATTTATTCATTAGAAAAGATGAATAATCATGCTTTGTTCATTCTATAAACGTTCTTCCTTGATTAGGGGGGGGGGGGGGGGGGGGAGAGAATGATTCGCCGGCAAACGTGTACATTTTGTGTATTGTTTCGTTAGGAAACGCTAGAGTCATGATTTGTGTTCTTGTTGTCGTCAGCGACCGGATGTTCCCGTGACCCTCTTGCGCATGCGCCCTTTACCGGTCTCCTTCATTGTCACCTCTAGGTAAGCTGAACGTAGAAGCTCAGGGATACACAAAATCTCTTTAACATCGGACAGAGCTTTAGGCATCCGCCTTCTAAATTGTTGCAGTTTTAGTATTTGTGAGTGTTAAATGCTGTTTGCATTATTGCTCATTCGTAGAATTGTGTAATTAATTCAATTTTCTCGTCTTAAGTTGTCTAACAGAAACTACCGGCTTCTCTCTGCAGGTTCTCTGCCGACCTAACAACCATCAACATTCACAATGTATGCCTGTGCTAAGTTTGCCCAGCCCTCAGCCAGATGCTTGGTAAGTGGAACAAATTCACTGCTCTAATATAATATGTTTTGTGCATAATATAATACCATTGGACCACAACTGCTTTCTTGACCCCACCGAAATCTTCCTTCAACAAGACGAGAGTCGTCTCTGTTGGTGTCGATATCAATGATATTGATTCAGATAACAAGTCAAGAATTGTAGTCACAAGTTAACTTTTTGAGCCGTACTAGGGTTTCAACTGTCTCCAGTTTTCTATTGGGAGAATGTGTTTTGTGTCCATACAGAAAACTAATTTGTAACCTTCAAGAATTTATGGCAACTGGAAGTGTTGTGTTCACTTCAAAATGACCTAGGAGTGACCTTTTCTTTGGTTTGCTCTGGAACAGTGTCTCCAGTGCCTGAATGTATGTGTAAAGAGCTCTTACATCCCTTTTGCAATATAAAGTTGATGCATTTTGTCCCATGAATGTATTTTGGATGCTTTTTTTCCTTTAAAATGTTTGATCAGTTCTTTGTGAATGTATGGAGTGAAAGCAAAATCCTCTGCAGTTCTGCAGAACCCTCACATTCACATTGGCAGTGGAAAGGCTACTTCCTCACTGCTAGATCTAGCCTAACATAATAATAATTCCTGTAATAAAATACTGCCCTTGTTATTAGCTCACTTAATGAAAGTCAGGACCTGTAACTTCAGGTCAAATGCCTTTGTAGATCTATAATGCTTGATTAGGCTGTAGAGAATCTTGTGCTGTCAGAGTGGATGCTTTTTTGTTGGAGTACCATTTGAAGGTCATATCATTTGATGAGTTCATTTTGCAATTCTTTCCTCTGTTTAGTGCAATTCTTAATTCTAAGTTCAGTCAAATGGTCTTCATCACTATGTCCTTGAGAAACAAGGATGGGTTTGAAAGTGTTAACTCAAGTTTTCTGTTATCTACCATTGATTGTTTGAGCCTACATTTCATTGTGATGGGTGATTATTGTGATGATTCCTTTGAAGGAATTTTGTATTTCTTCATAGTTCAATGTCTTAACTATTGTCAAGAATGTATTACACTTACACTCAAGAATTAAGGTTAAAGGAACACTGGATTTGTCCAATTTTGTTCATGACCTCCAATTTTTGTCCTTGCTCAACATGTTTTTATTCTGTCTCGGGTATCTGGTTCCTTGGTTCTTTTCTGGACAGATCTTAATCTCTGCAAAGTACAAACAGTAGAAGTACCTAGACTATTTGTAATTAAAAAAGTAAAATACATTTCGTTGCAAATTTCCAGCATCTTTTTTATAAGCTGATATGTCACTTTAGTGAGTTATTCTGTACAACTGTTTCACTGACAAACTGCTGATTTTGGTATTTCTTTTTGGACAGAGCGTGCTCACCCGATCTGCCCTGAGGCCTCTCGGAAGCGCAGTCGTTGTGAAGCAGGAGGTAAGCTTTTTTTGTTTTGGGATGACCGGTTGGTTTCAAAATGATTTTCTTTCTCAAGTAGAGGAGACGGAGAGAACGGTATGGGGTTTTTAATTTTCGTTAAGTTTATTCAACGTATACAGGTTGCTTTTTCTTTTCTTTTTTTGAAAGGGAATCACAGCAAGTGCCTGTTCTCCAATTGATACAGGGTACTCATTAATGTGCTGCACATGGTGTGGAGGTCTACAAATTTTCATAATAGTGTCAAGCAAACTCTTCAAATATTTGTTTCAACAATTTTTCACAGTAATAATGGATCTCAGTGGTTAAAGACTGTTCCTTATGCAGTTGCGAGTGCCGTAAAACCTTATACTAAACTAAACTAAAGACTGTTGAAGGTGACCCTAGTTTCTCTTTCCCTAGAGGTCAATAGTTTGTGCAGGGTCCTGTGATCTTGACAAGAGCATACACTTGTTTCATGAAATGTATAAATTATTTTGTTAACTATTTTCAAGAGTGTAAAGGACTTGCCACTTGTCCCTCTTTTTTTTTTTTACGCCAAATCTTAAGCTTCCCAATATCAATCGTGTGCATCTTAATTTTTTGTTTCGTCTGTTGGGAAGACTTTCTCTGCTTTCTCTTTAGCCAGAAGCGCTGATTAGGCTTTCAATCAAGTTCCGCTATTTTCTAAAATGGAGCGTAAGCAACAAACGTGAAACACACCCACCCCATGGTAAATGATTTCAAGAGTTCAACTAAAGTTAGTTTCGCTCTCTGTTTGACATTGTGTTAGAAAAAAGATTGGCAATGGTTTTAGCCCTAACACTAGGGGGTACTGGAATTATTATTATTATAGTATTCTTGTGGGGTAGGGCTAATAAGAGTAGGATTATTGTAATTTGGGGCTGGGAACAAAACCAAAAGACTTAACAACACCAATGTGTTTCAGTTTTTTAATGAATGTATCATCCTCCTAGATCTATGCGATACTGTGGAGCCTAGTGCAATGTTAGGACTTCGCTCAACTCAGTTTTGCTACATTGTGCTTTCGGTTGGCTTTGCCTAGGTTCTAGTGCTGCATCTTTCTCATTCGGTTTAGTTTTATCTCTGGGAAACAACGATGTAAATTATAAACCATATCTGAAAAAGAGATCCTAGAATCTCTGAATTTCTATTTTAAATTACTAAGGCTTACACACCATTCTTGATTTGTGTGATTCTTTGGCTTTAGATTTTTTGTGATCTATTGACTTTGGTTTGATTCACTTCGCTGAATTCAGCATTCAGGTCTTGAATCTAGATTCGGCATATAGCAATATTGTCAGTAAGAGGCTAAAACAAGACAAAACTACATCAGGATTCCTCATTTCCTTTCTCACCCTGGACCAGGAAATAGGCCATGAACAAACTTTCCACCTTTCCCTATCCTGGGCTAGCCTCTTGATGTTATTCGTTGTCTTGCCACTATTCTGTACATCAATTTCTGTGACTCTTCTCCAGGTTCCATGTGGTCTTCCCTTTGATCTTTTACCCTTCCTTGGGGTGGTGCTACTGACTGAAATATCTTTAGGTCATTTCCAAAGGGGGACATTAACATGTTCTTATATGCTTCTAGTAGAGTTGTAAATTCACTGATTCATCGTCATGCTCATAACTGCCTGAACTGCAATGGGGAACTGCTGCTTTTTCTTTCCTAATCCTTACTAGCATCATTTTCCTCTATTTATTTTGTATGTTTAACAAACTCTTCTGACCCGCTATTTCGGGGGTGCCTGTTAAAGCAGACTTTGTGCTGTTAAAGCAAGAGAAGTGACCAGAGTAAGCCTGATTCCCTGTATTGACATCCGCCCCTTGGCGCTCATATGACCTTATGCAGTTGCGAGAGTACTAAAAACAAACATTGATTTTTTTTAGTACGATTTTACGGCACCGGCAACTGCGTAAGGTCATATGAGCGCCAAGCGGTGGATGTCAACAGAGAAGTCCAAATGGGGAATCAGGCTTACTCTGCTCGACTATCAAGGCACCCCAGAAGTAGCATTTCACAAGAGAGTGACAAACATACAAAAGAAGTAGAGGGAAAATGAGGAGATTCCAATAAAATCCAGTTGTATGCCTGTTTGCGTATAATATAAGGGTTGGTAATGATGATTCAAATAGGAAAAGTTTGGGCTATTTATGAGGTATGTTGTAAATGGAGTGATGCTTGTAGGTTGACATTTATTATTTTTAATTTTATTTTCTACAGCCACAGGCCGTGTCCGGTGCCAGCCTAGCAACCTACAGTGGAATCAGCGCACTTAACCTTACATCTAAAGCAACCTCTGTTTCATCACTTATTAGCCAGGTAGGGATTGGAAACAGCTGTGTCGTTATGTGATTGTACAATATTTAAGTAGGTACCAGAAACTAAATTTTCAAAGTAGCTGTATGCCAAATTTATCAGCTCCATTTGAAAGGCCTATATCCACTGAACATTTTTGTACCAATCTTTAACTTCTGTCAATTTTTAAGAAAATGGTAGTTGTTTAAAATTTGATCAAATTTGTTAAAGTCAGTCACTGGCTGCAACCCCATGTTTGACAGACAATAAAAGAGTACCAAGAGTACTAAACATCTCCACATTAACAGAGTACAATCACTATAACAAATATATGGAGCCTAATTTTTTTCAAGACTGATCATTACAAATCAGTATTTTATAGCCTCAAACACGATGATCTGTCATTATTTCGACAAAAACACTGAGTGTTGACCCCTCTGGCGCCGCATCGGGCCCCGCAACGAACGAGTCGGCTCTATACTGTAGTGTACCCACGTGCGGGGTCACATGCTTTCTGAGTCTTGCAGAAGGATTGATGAAAAATAATTCCAAGCTGATTACTTTATTCTAATAGGAAATAAGTTGATCTTTTATTGGATATATTTTTTAAGCCAGTATTTTACATATTATGTGTAAAAAGTGATCTTTTAAACATTTTGACAGTATTTTTAAAAGCTTTCTATTTAGACGCCAAAGGCCAAATACATACCACGGGAAAGCCCGCTTAAAGCTCTACAGTTCTCCGCCAATGAAAAGACGGTATTTAATCATCCCTCGTTCCGCGAAGCATTTGAATGCACCCGTGTCAATTTTTCAACCGACCGACCACGCATTCCGACAGCGAGGGGCTTCACTTTCGTCGGCGATTCTCCAGCTCCTACTAATCGGACATAAAAACAACTTACACCATTGTAACGAGGAAAAGTTGAACTTTTACAAGGTGTACGGCATTTGGTGCTTTATAGCGAAAGAGCAAAGAAACAGCGATCGGAATTACCCCAATTTCACCGATACCTTCCAACCGCGAGTGCCCACGAGGCCGTGTTTACGCTACCTAATTTAAGAGAATTTTCCTGACACCGGAATTTTGGGAAAGTCATTAAATTGTAGGCTGCTACTCGCCTGATGTCGGGTGGCTAACGTCCATCGGGCTGCTGGCCCATAGGGATTTCTGCGACCTCGGGTGGCTAACATTTTCTGCCCACCCAGAGCCGGTCACCTAGATCTAGTTTTAGTCTTATATGGGGTGCTCACTCCGGCTGGTTCGGGCCGATCGCCTGAAACTGAAAAAAAAAGTTTGTTTTTTAGGCAACTGAGTCGGGCGATCCCATCCGTAGTGGGCACCACATATAAGGTAGCGTAAACACAGCCTCTCGGCCTTCCGAGCGACATAAAGCTATTGAGGGCACCTAGCACACCTTTGTAATACGCCCAAAATAGATCATAAATGATATTTTATCGCCATCTATTTTTATCGTCTTCCGAGGTTTCCTTCGCGAGTTGACTACATTGTTGTAGATCCCCTTGATCTATCACTGCACCCTTTATTCATTATTTATCGTTCATCAGAATGCCGGTGACAAAGTTACTGACACTAACATTAGAAATGCAGCATCCATACTTCACAAAAGAATACACCAGCCTATCCGTGTTGTTGTGGGGCATTTTCATTTCTTCACATAGTTTGGATTTTTCTGCAATCTGCGATTACAAATTATTAACGTGAAAAGTGGCAAAATTTTGAAATTGTTCCACTCAGGTCTCTAAAACTTTGGAAAGTCTTTCCCACATATAATTCACCTGCCATGTTGACCGATCCGACTCTTGACTTGGAGGACAAGGAGTGACTGAATCTTGCGCGATAGATCATGCGAATTTTAAAGGAGCATGCACAAAAATCCCCAAGGGCAAGAAGCCGCAGGCCAGACCGGGCTAATCGACCGAATTCGTTCGCCCGGAACATGCATAGAAATCCTTGATCGGGCGAGTAGCCTGACGCTAGTCACCCGACATCAGGCGGGTAGCCACTCCGTAAATTGTATTCAACACAATCTTGTCAGGTCAGAAAGTTTTTTTTTTTTCAGGGGAGTTTGTAGTATCTAATACTGTATGTAGATGAGAGTGATGGGTGAGATGTGTGCAGATGTGGTTGTAATGGTAATGGTGTTTCTAGCGCCCTTTCTAAAGCTCGGGGGGGGGTGGTGGTGGTAAATGATTGTGTCTTGCAGTGCTGGTGGTTCTTTAGCCTCTGGCCGCTTTGTTTACTCTGAATGTAGAATCGTCCCTTGCCTCATGGGGTTTTTTTGTTTTTGTTGGTAGGAATTAATTTTGAATTTTGCCTCAGGAGTCTATTCTTTTTTTAAATTTCAGAACCTCTAATGGATCTTTAATATTCTGAATTTTCCATGCAAGACCTCCAAAATTTCCTGTCCTTATCTAAGGTTACAATGTGCTCAATCCTTCCTGCTTACTGTAGGATGAGGGGATGTTGAAGTTGAGAAAAACGAATGGAACTCTGGACCTAGGGGCAGACAGGCAAACACCTGAGCTGATCAATGAGATGCTGACAAAAGTCTGTTTTTAAAAATGGACAGTGACTATAGGAGTGTTGTCATCTTCCGGTGCAGTCTTTACAGATGGAAAATCAATATTTGCTGTAACTTTTCACTCCATGAAGAATTCTGATGTCTTCAATAAATCGGAGAATATGCTCCTAGTTAGAAATTTTGAGTAATCTTTCTGCTGGGATGTTTTAACCCTGACGGGCAGGGCAAGGTCAGAAGTCTGCCACCTAAATTATCAAAATTGTGTCGATTGGGGTTTCTGGGGTGGGGAAAAGCAAAATAAGATGTACCTGGATGCCTTTCTAGGGAATCAGAAAGGGGAGCCGAACTCTAAATTTGCCTATAATTGAGCCATTGATGGAGGCCTTTTATTTGTATGGATTTGCACACTGTTGAATTGATGTGAAAGGTTGTAATCAAAAACCTATTTCTTTGTCAGTATAACTTCTTACTGAATGAAAACCTGTTCATTGATGGTTAGAATCTAGTTATCTCCTAGATCAGTAATCAGTTGATGATACTGTGAAGGCCAGACATTCGATTCCACGGACTCCTGCACTCAGTCAGCTCTTCCAACACCAAAATGTAATCTTTTTTGTCTCCTGTTAGTGGTACTTCAGTTTTTCAAAAATTGTGTGCTCTTTCCATCTTTAGATCCGCAACTTCCAGACAAGCGCTGTGCAGCGGGACATTGATCAGGCCGCCAAATACATTGGAGCCGGAGCTGCCACCGTTGGAGTGGCTGGATCAGGTACTTCCTATACTCCCTTGGTTACCCTTTTATTTCCCTGCAGTAAACGGGACCTTTCTTTCTAATCTATCACATTTCTTTTTTTCTTCTCTCTCCCTCTCTCTCTAGATCTAGTAACACCTCTAATTTCCGACATTTGAATGAGTTATTTTTGTTACAAGTGTAAAAAAAAAAACCTACAGTAGACTGTGGATAAGTTGTCATCTAGAGAAGGGGGGGGGGGGGGGGGGGGGGGAGGAATATAAACTCATCTGAAGTTCACGTGATTGTTGGGACCACACAACCAAGGAACTCTGGAAAATCTGCTCGTAATTTTAATTTTTGTAGGCAACTGTGGTGAAAATGGGGGAGACCAAAAAGGTTACCACGCTATATTTATTCACATCATTAGATTAGTCGCGTACTCATTCATGTTTGTGTGTGAGAGAAAGAGAGTTTGTTAGTCGCGTACTCATTCATGTTTATGTGTGAGAGAAAGAGAGTTTGGGAGGTGGTTGCAAGTGCCCACTGACGGCAAATACAGACTACGTGTGTACTAATGTTAACATGTACCTCTGAAAACCTTGCTCTTTCACTGCAGCTGATTACGTTATATTCCAGACTCGGGTAAAAACTATCACTGTTTGTCATGTTCTTTATTCTGTTATAAACGGAGTTCCCTAAAATTCTTTGAAAAGTGAATGTTGTTAGGAAAAAGGTTTTACACTGGTACATTTTAGACGGCTGTTAAAGAATAAAAGTGCTGTCACCCTAAGTTACAGTCGAGAGTACTTTTTTAGCTCAGTATTTTCAGAGGTTTTACTGATTGCTCATTGTCTTGTGACACATTATACACTTCAGCTTTGAGAGGAAGGGAAGCAACAGCAGATGGGATTATTGCCTCGTGGTGTTAATATGTGTCAAGTACACCCACTCTTGTGCTCCCCTCACTGTTTCATTGAGATATCATATAGGCCTATTGTTGCGTGTTCGTCATCTCTACATAATTGTACATGTGCTGTATTAACCCTATCTGTACGTCGTGTTTTACTATTACTATCGTGTCCATACGACGTGATGAACTGTGCCTCCACTTTCCAAAGAGGAAATTTACTCGTTAATCCGATCTGTACACTTTGTATAGCTGTATGTAAAAATGATTTTTTGAGAAATACTGAAAGTTTCAAAGAGATCTTCGCACTAGAAGTATTCCTAAATGTGAAGAATACAACCTCGGGGGTACAAAATTACCCCCAGGGCGTACGGATAGGGTTGAATCACTTGTGTCAAAACTGCTGTGAAACATCTGATACACATTCTCCCCCCCCCAAAAAAAATGCAAAGGTTCCACACTTGTGTCTGGGTAAAAATCACGCGATCGGCTCTACAACTGAGGCTACCGGCCCAGAAAATTTTGTTTCAATATCATATAGAAGAAACATTTTGCAATAACTATGTAAAATGAAATCTCAGCCCCAGTTTCGTTAGGGCTAGACTTCGTTTTTAAAGACGCATGGTCGGAGCGGGCAATTCCGGGTGAGTTAGGGTGGAGCCCTTTGGGAAAATCACGTTTGAGTTATGGTGTCATGTGTTAACCTAAGATCAACACAAGTGGGGTTGACTGTAAAACTAAAACTTGCCATAGTGTTTTTTTTTTCAGAGTTTAGGGCTCTGAAGACCCCACATTTTCTCTTATAATATTGTTAACATTTTTTTCACTTTACTTTTTCAGGAGCCGGAATTGGAAGCGTCTTCGGAAGTCTCGTCATTGGATATGCTCGCAACCCATCATTGAAGGGCCAGCTCTTCTCATTCGCTATCTTGGGTTTTGCCCTGTCTGAGGCTATGGGTCTGTTCTGCCTCATGATGGCTTTCTTGCTGCTGTTCGCTTTTTAACTTGGGCCTCAGCATGCATAGAAAATCTAACAATATTTCATTAGTGATTGAAAAAAAAAGTTATATGGTAACTAAGCGCTGTATTGTTTGCGAGGTGTGAGTGGTGAGAATGAAGTGACCAAATCATGTCTGTATACTTTCTTTGTTTGTGTATTTGAGGTAACTGTGGACACTTCATTACTTAGGTTCTTAGGGAATGAAGCTGAATTTCCTTGGCTGCACTTCCTCTCGCAGCTCAAATGTTTGTTGAGGGGTTGGTGAGTGGCTGGAGGAATGACAGGGGCCCACGGAAATGGTTGAATCCCCTCTCTTTTGTTTTGTGATAGTGTGACAACGTACACAACACAGACTAGACTGTAATGCATGAGCGTTGTTGATGAAGAAACCAGAGTTGATAAGGTGATGTTCACCTGATGCTATTTTGTTATCTTGGCTCAGGTTTGGTCTGCATGTGATAACCTTTATGCCATTAGTAAACTCGTTACTCGACTTTCCTTTGGCGTTGACAGATCTGCATACATTTTTGTCGTGGTGTGAGCAAGAGTGAAATGTGATTTTGTTCATGGAACCAAGAAAATAATGTTGTGAGGGCAAATTGGCTTGGAACCTGGTAAATCATCTGGTTTTTTCATCAATCATGTGAACTGTTGGGGTTGTATGTCAAGAGGACTTTTGTTACGTATTCAATCTGCACCCAAAATTGTGAGCTGTAGTGTTACTGTAACTTTTTTGTTCAACTTAGTAGACCAATTTTGGAGTTCCACATTGTTGCAGATGTGTGATTGCTGTACAGATCCAAGCACATTTGTTTGTAGCAACCTTCTTCGTAGATTGGGGTTGTTCCGAAGGATTTGATAATAAAAACTGTCTTGGAGACTTTGATGAATCACCTTGTTTGTGGTTTTTTCTTCTGCATGCTTTTTTATTTATTTTTTTTAAGATACAGCTTCATGGAAACCGTAGAGAATTAGTGTGGTTACTTCAAATGATAATTCTCAAAAGAAGAGATCTGTATGCCATGTTGTCTTTTCTTTTTGTGTTAATGTTACAGTGGTGGTTGCTGGCTGGTGGGCTGATTTTACAAACTTGTCTCGACCTGAGAAAGTTTAATTGTTTGAATTTCAATTAAGTGGACAGGTTCCCAGGTCCCTTTGGAACTTGCTCTTTCTCTTCTTCCATTCATTCCAGCATGCTGACAGATCGAACCGAGTTCTCCACCCTGGATGTGGTGAACTTTATGGTCCTAGAGACATGAAATGTTCCACAATACAGTTGGCTCCACTAAGTTAGTAGGCTTATAATAAATCTCTGAGCCGGATGTCTTGTAAAGTTATTTATAGCAGGTGTTCGGAATAGACCAGCTCTGCGATAACAAAGGTCCAACCATTGACAAATTCCTAGAACTAATGGAGAGAAAAGCAGATGAAGCAAAACATCCATGGTGAATTCCACCAACATGACCCACCAGAGGCATAAGTTGATCGTGTAGTTATTTTTACACATTTTATGGTGTGCCATCATGCCATGTATGCTGGAGAGTGGGGAAGGTATATCATGCACTTTGATAATCTAAATTTTCTAGTCGGCAAATGACCTGCCATGAACTTGGTTTGGCACCATACTGTGACTTCAGCTGCTTTCTTGTATCTCCATTTTTTAAAACAGTTGATAACAAAGAGTGAGATTAAGAAGTCATATTTTTAATGTAAAAAAAAATGGAGATACGACATGAAAGCACTTGGGTCGCGATATTGTCACACTGTCTCCCCACGGGATGGTGAAACTTGAAAATGTAGGTGATTTTATGTTCCCATCAACACAATTGATCATTTAGGAAGCTGGCTTCAGAATAAGACCCTCCTGTACGGTCTGGGCAAAGTAGATGGATACAGGAACATCACTCTGGAATTGAATTCAGTTTCTTGTGTGTAACCAGTGAAGCGGCCTACTGCAACACCACAGACGCCAATGGGGTGAGACTGGTGGTAATGGCAGTAGGGGACATGATAAAATGAAAAGCAAAGTAGGAACTGTCACTGAACGCATGATCTACTGATACATGAACTGTGATGACTTTGGTTAGGACTACAAATAGTTGTAAAGCCCGTAGAGTAGAGCGGGGTGTGCGCATAATAAATGCTATTATTATTATTATTTAATTTATAGTAGTGGAACTCGGATTCACTAAAACGAAATGAAAATAAATTGTAACATCTCTTCTCCGTCGTTGATCCCAACAGAATTCTCAATTTTAATTATAAAGGCTGGCCTTTACAATAGATTGTTAATAATATACACTGTACTTTTGTATTAATCTAAAGTAAACTTGTCATTTTTATCTTAGATTGAATATTTTATCACAAATTTAATAGTTATCATTTTAATCGAATCATGCCATTGTTGGCACGCGCGTGTGTCGGATGGGCGGTCAGGGTGTTGAGCGTAGGTAAAGTAAAGAGTAAAGATAGAAATGCGTCACAATACTCGCAGTCATTTTTACCCTGGCTCTCTTGCCCTTTTTTACTCACACAGAGGAGCATAGGTCATCAACATTTTGAAACCTGTCCTGTGCATACTTTTGTAGCTGTTTCCATGATGTCCCCGCCTTTTCCATTTCAGCTTGTTCCGCTCGCCTCCATGTCATCTTTGGTCTTCCTTACGGTTTCCTTGTGGATTCCATGTCAAAGCCTGTCTGATGATGCTTGTCGGGGGTCTCCTCAGGGTGTACCCAGTCCATTTCCATTTCTTCACCTGTCTTCCTTTGCCTTTACTGGCCTTTGGTTTGTTCTTTCCCGCAGTTGAGCATCTGTGACTCAATCGTACCTCTTAATCCCCACTATTGCCACTAACTCCATTCATGTTTGTTTTGAAGATCCTCAGCTTGGTGTTTACCCCGGCTTCTGATTAAGGGGGTGTAGCTATGGTCAACACCCAAATGCTATAGTTTTTGGTCTAAAGCTTGCTTTTCTGCATCAAAGGGGGTGACATAGTACAAAAAAAGGTTACCAAGCAAAAAATTCAAGATTTTAGTCATAATAATCTCGAGCCATCAAAAATAAAGGATTGATTCAGCATTTTTAAAACCAATTTTATATTTTGTCAATCATCAACACTCATCAAGATAGAAGCCTAATATTTGGCATGGCGATTACTGTTGGTAGGTAGAACAACCTTACAGAGCCAAATTTGAATGTTCTGTACTGACTTGTGAGCATTACAGTCCTTGTTATGCACTACATTCAGGTCTCCAATGTTTTCAGATTTTGTCAAATAAAACAGGCCTAAAACTCCAATTGTGTACCATAAACAGCAAAAATGCTCCTGTAAAGTTATCGAGAAATGTGTATAAAAGATTGTGTCCAAATGTGAAACAATTCTGACAGTAACTTTCTGAGATCTACTCAATATAGTGTTGCAACCTGGTCAGATAAACAATTCTGAGAAAACTGCAAAGAGAGATAATTTTTGGTGAAGATTTTCCTACATTGCTGCCTCTCTTAAATGCATTTTCCAACTATTTATACGTTTGATAAAGGAATTAGGCTTCTAAAGATGGATCCTTGATATTGATATCTATTAAGATACCCCAAAATCCGAAAACTGATATTTTTTCAAAATTTTTACTGATCTGACCAGTGGATCCCCTTAAATTATTAAAAATGATGAGCTTGTTTTGACATACGCAACAAATTGCACTCTGGTCTGAGGAATCATATGTTGCCATATTATTATATGCTAGGCTTATACTACAGAGCAACACCACTTGTTCGGCAAACAATGTCAATTCAATATGAAATATAAGCGTGCACTAATCGAACCCTTTGTATAGCTGGTGCTTGGTATAGTTCATAGTATTTTCCAGCTTATCTTCGGTATGTCATCAAAGAACAAATGCCTCTTATTTGAAACCAAACTACTTTATATTGCGGAAGTCGAATGCATTACACTACTTGCTCGGTGCCTGTAATTAAACACAAAAACCCCATGTTTGCTATAACTATAACGGAAGCTTGGATTCAATGAAATTGAAGGTCAGGCCAGACGACTTCATTGAATCAGACTACCACTGTATTATCTTCAGCAATCTGTGTTTCAAAATGTCTTTTCAACCTCCATGAGACAAGGCACTAGAATAAGAAAGATGAATCAGACTACCACTGTATTATCTTCAGCAATCTGTGTTTCAAAATGTCTTTTCAACCTCCATGAGACAAGACACTAGAAAAAGAAAGATGAGGGTGAGGAGCAAATAATTAAAACTCTGGAAAAGAAAGAGCTGATAAATTGGTTGTAGGCCTACATGACAAAAGGCCAAAAGAAAAGATTGAACAAAGTTGTCTAGCTCGGGTAGAAAAATGTTGATTTCTTTAATAAAATTTATTCCATCACAGTGTTTTGACGGCACCTGATTTTACAATGAACACACATATCTTTTTTTAAAAATTGTGGTGAACACATTTTTTTGGTGTCCTGCAGATTTTTATAATTCACATATAGGGCCTACATATATATATATATATACACACACATGTATATAATATATATACATGTGTATTATATATATATATATATATATATATATATATATATATATATATATATATATATGTAGTGTGATGTAGGCCTATATATTATTGTGAGACTGCCTTTTGAGACAGCAGAGGGGAAGCTTACTATGATGATGACTCCGAAGTGTTGAAATTGAAGCTGATCTGAGATATTATTATATGCAGAACAGCTCCTCTTAAAATTAAAAAAGTGGGTGGTTGGCGGGTGCTCCGGTGTGGTTTGCTTCTTTCCTATCAAACATCTATCGTCCTTATCTCCTCTTCTTTTTTAATTTTATGTTTTTGTTACTCTCTTGTAACATCTCTAATCTTCTGGCGCTCATATGACCTTATCTTATGCAGTTGTGAGTGCCGTAAAACCTCTACTAAAACTTAAAATATATTTAAAAAGTTGCCTGTCTGGAATTCAAATTGCCCTGTAATCATGATGGAAAACAACACATCCATCGTCGAGAGTATCAGTATCACTATCAGGTTACATGAGCCCACCAGGACACCAGGCTCGCCCCAGCACAGCATAACATTTGCACTAGTGTTTAGTGTCCCTGTGGATCAGAAAGTGATAGCAGAAGATGGGTAGGTGGCGTGCTTTATCCCGATTCCTTGTTTAGGCTCACCTCACTAATCTCACACTTTCAATAACACCCCCCCACCCCAAAAGTTATATTGCAATTGAGGATTCATTCCTCGGCTGAAATGGGTAACATGTTTGCATGGCTACCTAGCTATGTAGGCATCTGAGGAAACTAGCACTAGCAGACTGATCTCCTGCCACTTCCGATGAAGGAATCCTTGTCCTTTCCTTTCTGTTGGGGTCAACGGAGAATACCCTCCCACAGACAGAATAGTTGGGTTTTTTTGACAAGATCAGCTGTACATATCAGGTTAATCTAAAGCTCATCACTCTCTTCCTTTCTCTTGCTTCGACACCGAACAAGGAGCACTACCCAGCCTTGTATTTGTATTCTTATTGATACATGTACCAAGGAGGCTTGATGGCAGTGTTTTTTTATCTTCTGACTTTTATGCTGTCAGTTACTTCCCTTGATTTTCTAAGATATTTCTCTTATACTTATTTCTTGTTATCGTAGTTTACTAAAATTATGGATTTGTCGAACTCCCAACGGGTTCGAGATATCCGTGCTCAATAGAAGAGTAAAAATGCTAGCAAAAAAATAACTTTTCTTCTCACAAAACAGAGCACACTACAGCCTCAATGAACGAGCATTTGAAACCCCCTGTAATCGCTTACATGATGCGTTCACCCCTGTATCGTGTCCTATTTGAGAAAAGTAAATACAGTCAAACCTGTGTAAGACGGCCACCCATTGTCAAGGAGAAAAGTGGCCATATAAGACAGGTGGCCATCTTAGGCAGGACTGATCGAGATGAAGAAAACAAACTATTCCCATCTGAGGTCCCAGAAGAAAACAAATTATTCCCATCTGAGGTCCCAATTGAAAGTAGCCGCATTGTTGTTGGTGGTGGTGGTGTATATTTTTTGTAATTTTGATTTTGCTGATTTTGCACAAGGGTGACAATAAAATGAAATGTATCAGTAAGACCGAGTGCCATGTTATAACAAACACACGGGTCGCCACCACTCGGAGAACGAGCGACGCTTCTGTCACAAGTTCATGTTGACGCCCTCTGTTACTGACTGGGTAAACAGTGACCACTCATCTCACTTACGATTTGTGTATGAGTTCTGGGCGGGGCTTATGGGTTATGAGGGATCACACGCTTACCTCACAAGCAGCTGAAAATTGTTAATTATTGGTCAACAGTGGGAGGGGCCTACGCAATATGATCGGTTGGAGGGACTACCTAACAACAGCGACAGGTGATTGAATTATGACGGCTCGCCCACAATGCCAGGGGCCAATGCATAATTAATGACAAAACGTAATGGAGTCACTAAGGTGGCCGTCTAAGACAGGAGTTATTGTTTGGTGTGATAGGGGTTGTGTGGTAAAATATGGTGGCCGCGGCCGCGTTGGACAGGTACCTGTTTTACACAGTTAAATTTTATAGAAAAAATGCAAGGGGGGAAATGGAAAGTGGCAGTTTGTACAGGTGGCCGTCAGGGCAGGTTTGACTAGCAGGAAATGCATGGTCTTTTTGTTCGTTGGTATCCCCATTCCCAGATTTGTTGAATGAAATCAAAGAAAATTTTGTTTGGTTGGAATCAGAATTGCTGAAACACAACTAAGACTAAGAGGTGTAATCATTCATTCCAATCTACTGAGATGATAACCAAGAGAGAAAAAAAAAAGCATTTTATTTTGAAAAAATATTTGAATGTGGAAGCTTTTATTTTTTGTTTACAAGATTAAAGAAAATGGTGAAGACAGCAGTTCTGAAAGGGAAATTGATCGACTGAGAAAAACCCACAAAAAAACATAAAGGCTCAGCCCTACTTTCAAAAATCAAAACTACCCACTGGATAGTTGCAAGAACCAGCCTTGCTCTTGGCAGGTAGACAATACAGCTGAGAATTAAGGAGGGCCACAAACAAAATTCACTTGTGACCTGAGATGTCTGTGGCACAGTAGGTAGGCTCTCAGACTTGCAACTATACCGTTGTACATTCAAATCCCTTCAGGGGCCCAACATTGTGTCCATGGGAAAGGCATTTTAAACAAATTCTCCTCACTTCATAGGTATGAATGAGTATCTGGCTATAACCAGTTTTAAAACAGCTGAAGATCTTGTCTGTTAGTGCTTTTTAGCAATGCAATCCGCAGCTTGCACTGTATGCTTCCCAGGAAGCTGAGAATGTTTCTTAGTGTCTTGGGTTTACTGGGGTAACAATAGTTGTAAAGCATATAGTCATATAGAGCACGTTGTAGAGTAGAATGCGCTGTATAAATGCAATTACCGGTATTATTATTATTTGTTACTTTTCCACATTTCACAAGACAATTCTCTACCCACAGAAGAGAGTTGGCTTCTTCAACAAGTTTTAGTACATTTTCCGTAACTTGGAAATGACAATGACAATCTTTATTCATCTTAGGAAGAAATTTGTCCTGGTCGATTACAATAGCAGTGGTTGTACAATATTTAAGTGCACTCACGCATACACACGAGAAAGAATATAAAATATAAAGTGCTCAAACATCTCCATTAAAAAATGCACTCACTCTCTCTCTCTCTCTCTCTCTCTCTGTTTCATTCGAAGCACTGAGTGTTCAGTAGCTAACCTTGGTGCAGGTGGAGTATAAGTGAACTCTTATAGTGCTGTCTGCTTTTGTTTTCTTGGAAATAAGTCATTTACTGCAGACTAATTATTGAGATTCTGATGTCAATGGGTGGCTATGGTCATTTGGCATTATTTCCTCCATTATTAGAACATGTGTCTTATATAAAGAAATTCAAAGTTATGTAGGCCCTTTTCAATAGTTCTTGATGTCTTTCAGTCAACAACTTATTTAGTATTTAGTCGGGCACAGATCTGTCTCTGTGGTTTTTTTATGCACCCCGCATAATTTGATAATTTTTTGTATAATTTCTGATTATTTTCCTTTATCATTCTTCGTTAAAATTAACAGAATCGCATAATTTCACATTTTTGGGCTCAATTTGCATAATTTCTTAATTTTTTCTTGCATAAAACGACGGGGACAGACAAATTAAAAACACACAAAAAAAACCCAACTCAAAATCATGGATTGTTCATACAATTTGACATTCCCCAAGTGACATCCCTTTAAATTTTCGCTATCAGTTGACCTAAATCATTATTGATGTATCAAATACATTTGTCAATGCCTGACCTATACATTACTTTTGGTAGACAATGCATATATAACAATATCAATGGTATTTATCACCACTTCACTACCCTACAATTACTAAGTTCTATCTGCTCAGTAGGCTACCTAGTTTTGAGAAATTGGAAATAAAATTTTGAGTTTCACAACATGGTCAAGATTTTTTTAATGCAATTCTTTGAATATCTTGACAACGACTTCAAATTATCTTATGATTTTGATGGATGATAGAGCAAATAAAACATTCCGTTTCTGACCTTATGGTCTTGGTAACTAAAAACGGCCTGAACTGTCAGAGATAGAACTTTGTAATACTAAGGTAGCGACTTGTAGAACTGAGCAATGACACAAAATACAATGGCACTAAGTTCAGAGAGAACATAACACGGTCCTTCCTCGATATAAAACTGTAGCCAGCTGCCGGGATTGGAGATGGAGAAGAGGGAAATAATCAGTGACTGGAAGCTCTTTTCAACTGCTGCCCTCTTTGTACTCGTTCAAGAACTCGGTCAAGGTTGATTTATCTACCGGAATCTGCAGGTGTTCGATGCCTTCATAATTCTGAAATGACAAAAGTAAAAGAGAGTGCATTTAATAAATAACTTCAGAGAAAATAAAGGTTGTTGTGCTTTTTAAGAAGAAAAGGTTGAATAATAGCTCAAATGAGCAATGGTTGCCTTAGGCTAAAATTTGATGGCATTATTTTTACTGGCAGATAACCCTTTGAGCCCTTGCCACCAGTACACTGTGGCGCGAAAAACTACTCGTATGCCTAACCACCGGTACAATGGTGAGCGAGATACCATCCCCAACCCGGTCCACCTGAGTCAAAAAGTGTACAGACAACAACGTATACCACACAAGGCATTATACATTATTTTGAAATCTTTCCGAAATAGATGCTGGTACTGATAAGGACTTTAGTTACAGTTCACTGCACAGCCCGATTCTGGTCAACACCTCTACTAAAATGCTAAAATACAAAAAATTTGGTGTAAATAAATTCTTAAAAATTAAAAATAACATATAAAATTTTAAAACCATGTAATTTACAATTTTCCATAAAGGCCAACGGCCTTTATAAAATCCAGGATTCTATTGGGATCAACGACGGAAAACAGGTCTTGCAATTTTTGGCATCTAAAATATTCCCTTCAGGTCTCTCCGAAGTCTAGACATTCTGTTAAAATGTGCCTAATGGTAAAATCTGTGTCGCATCTGACCCAAAACAGCTTCCCTTCTCCCTGAAGGAGGTATTTGTGTGTCAGGGACTTGTGTCCGATGCGTAATCGAGTAAAAATGACTTTGTCTCTTCTGGAGAGGCTCAAAAGTTTTCATGGACCAAGTTCGGGCTTGAAGTTGTGTAATTTATTATTTTCTTGTTTTTTTTCAATGAGTCTCCCTCCCATAGACTAAAGGTGTAGTTTTTTACTTTATTTTTAAAGTCAGTCTGTGGGAGAGTGTTCGTCGTTGATCCCAACAGAAGGTACAAGGGTACCTTCACCAGGTCCACTTGCTCGTTTCCTCAGATGCCAACATGGCTAGGTAGCCATGCGAACACGATACTTTCCCCGGTTTCAGTCAAAGCGTGTACAGTCCGTGCCGGCTTTAAGCACGCCGGCATAAAGCACGTTTCGGACTCAAGCACGCTAAAGGGCTCTTACCGAATTTTTGCTGTATAAATTACACGCCTTTAAGCACGGTAACTTCGGCTTCAGGCACGCTTCATTTACAAGACTGTCAATACTTTCATGATGACCCACCGAAGTTCAAACACAGTCTGCAGCAGTGGAGTGTGTTAAGAGAAACACAAAGAACACAAGTGATGGACACACACACTCACACGGGCGTAGAGGAAGGCAGAGAGATGCACACAGCCACACGCGTGGACATAGGATCTAGCCTAGAGCAATGCTACACACAGACACCAAAAAATACAAAGAGAGTCGGGAAGACGAGATAGGGAGGCCGCCTGAGATTTCACATTTGACCCTCGCTATCCATTAATCCTGATTGTGTATCACGCGCGAAGAGGGATGAAGGCGGTGGTATGAATGTGGCACAGCAGGCAGTATGTAGGTATTGTGTGCTGTATCGTGACTGGCTGTCTAAATTAAGTTTTCATTTTCCGTTTGACCACAAAACAAAAACAAACAAGCAAACAAAAATTACCATGGCGGGTAAAAATAACAGTGCACACTTTTGTGGGACCGCTATAGTCCTACTTACAAACAAAGGGAAATAGCACGCGACATTTCTACATGAAAATCTCTGGATTATGTCTACTTCGCACCCAAGCACGCTTCGGCATTAAGCACGCTTAAGCTTTTTCCCGATGACCGTGCTTAAAGCCGGCATGGACAGTATTTTTTTGTTGTAACCTAACAATTTTTGGGTGTAAGAGTGTGTAATTTGTAAGTGAGGTGATGCAAGACAGAGAGTCAGATAGGATAAGGAAAGATTTGTTAGGAGAATTTTCTATGGAGCCCAGTGCCATGTCAATGGCATTGGCCTCCGCAGAGAAAATGGAGACCTCGGGAAGGAGTCTCCTCTTGTGTGTATTGTTTGAGGATAGGGCAGCAGCGCCCACCCTGCCGTGCCAAAGCAGAGCTATGTATCTGCACTTTTTAAAATAATTTTGAGTAACGTCGCGCTGCAATTGGGAATATGGGCAAGGCCCTTCAGTTACGTCTCTTTACCAAATACCATAGTGAAATATTTTATTTGTAGTGCAGATACATCTTCCTGCCTTTGACACAAGATGCAGAATAGGCACAGGCATCCATTTAAACGAACAAATATTAATCATTTTTGCAGATACGTTGGTGTGCCTTGGCACGGCAGCACAACGGAGTCCGTTTTAGAGCCATCTGTGAAGATTAGCACCACACTGAGGTATTTTTCTGTAGTTTTTTTTGTATTCTGCTTTAAAAGTATTGGTGTTTGTGCTTGCTTTGGTGCGTGTGGTCAGCTGTAAGTCTATTTTTGCCTCGGTGAGAGCCACGGAGGGAGTTCGGGGAAAAAAATTGTTGGATGTCTTGTTTGGAAAATTGTATGTTTTTAATATCCTCAAGGCTTCTGAGGTAGACGGGTTTGATGAGTTTTTCCGGTTTTGGAGTTTGTTTTTGGTGTCTGGGTTTGTTCTGAAAATACGGTTGTGTGCTGGGTTCTCTGGTGTTGAGCTTTGTTTTATTGTGTATTGTAGAGAGAGTTGAGTGTGTCTGAGTGTGAGTGATGGTATGTTTGCCTCCGCCTGGAGGCTCTCCACAGGAGAAGTGCGGAAAGCCCGCAGGGCGAGGCCGAGTCCTTGGTTTTGTGCTGGGTCTAGCATTCTCAGGACGTGGGGTTTTGCCGATCCATAGACCTGACAGCTGTAGTCAAGCCTGGATCATATATGAATGTTAGTAGTATATCGCTCATGAGCTCAGGCACAAGGGCACGGTAGCCTCAGGAGTTCATGGCTAAAATGGTTAAAGATCATGTAAATGTCAGTAACCAGGTAATGACAGCTGAATACAGTTTGAAGTTTTACCATGCTTGCAACTGCATAAGATCATGAGTCTGATGACAGAACTATTCCCGATCCAAGTTTTTTTTTAGTAATGACTAATCCTTTGTTTCTGCCAGAAAAAACTCCAGGAAACAGTGGAAAAAACTCAGGGTTTAAAAAGTTAAGCGGACTCTATTACACAAAGCAGTCCAAAACTCCAGAAGTTTTAAGAATTCTCCACCACAAAAATTACAAGAACTCTGAACAGCCACCCTGGCAAAACATAAGAGCAGTCTTCAGATTTTTTAAGCATACAGTCACAAATATACAGGGTTCCTGCCATGAACTTCCCACCAAATTCAAGGAGACATTTTTAAAATTCAAGGAGATTTGGTCAAGAAATTCATGACATAAGCCTATTTTCGAAGGTCTACACTTGTCCGAAAAGAATCATATCATAGTTTCGATTTCCCAACAAAAACTGTTCGCAGGGTGACTGCCAACCCGGCTTCTCAATTTTCCGGTGGGGGGGGGGCTCATCCATTCACCAGGGGCATGTTACATAACAATGACAGTGCATGTTTCATTTATATATTATTTATTAATATATACACAGAATGGTGCGCACGCACGCATGTAGGTATATTCCAGTCAGCAACATGTCAGTGTGGCACTGGGATACTGTGACTTAGGTATTTAGGTCAGTTCTTACTTAAACTATATAAAAATGAATCTTGCTTTGAGCCTGAGAAAAGGCCTAGAATCAGAATATCCACTGTCAAGAACCAGTCTGGGTGTCAAGGTTTATACAATAAACGTAAAAGATAAAAATTATTACTCTAACTAAAAATAGAGTAATAACATGAATGTCTCAAGTAGACCTATTCAGTGTGAGAGGTGTAAAAACTGTGGGAGGGCAAGACGCAGTGACTCTGAAAATCTGCAAATCTTGAACAGAAAGCTCAAAAGAATACAATACATTACATACAGTAGTCTCCACCTAAGATCCCGGTGCTCGGGAGCCAAGAAATGCGGGATCTTAAGCGAACCGGGATCTTAACCGACGAACCCAGGGAAGAATCTATGGTGACCCATGTTAAGGCTCACAATCGGTAAAATGGTCTCCCTCCACTCTAAAATGAACTGACGTGACCCCTTGGTGGGTTTATGACATAAGGCGAGCAAAGTGTGGTTAACCTTGATGACCTATCACAGTGCATAGTGGCATGAGGCGTGCCATTTTCACGAATTATCCTATCATGAGTCTCAAGATCTACGCTTATCCAGCTGCCCCTCCCCTTTACCTGTCGAAAATTTATAGCTTGCCATCTCTGACCGAGTCCCCCCAACCGCCTTTGTCGCTACACACCATTACGTTGTGAACACACCAATTAAAATTCAGTCTGTCTCGCAAATTCGGGAGTAGAGACAACTGCTGCAATGGTCGGGGAAGAGTTCACGATTCGATGTGATCCCGCCTGGAGCGAACGTATAGGCCCTACCCACCCAGCGAGTGATGTAAGTTTAGGGTGAGAGCTCAGGTGTGAGTGCGATACGTGGGGAAAATAAACGTGTCGGTCAGTTCACACCCCGGTGTGATCTCGTCTGGGGCAAACATTGCATCGCTTCATCGAGTTTTACAACCTGTATGTGATCACATTCACGATAGTGGCTGATCTTTGATGCGACGGACAGTTTATTGATCTCAACTTTTCACTCTTGGTTGATCGGCTGTCCCGCCCGGGTTTTTGTTCCGCAGATTATACATGTAATCTGAAATGCGGGATCTTAGCTGAATGTAGACCTTTTTAAGAGTGAATCAGAGCGGGATCTTAGGGGTGACTTTTGTATAGTAAAAATTCTGTTTTCTTAAAACAGCGGGATCCTAAGCGGTGGGATCTTAGGCGGAGACTACTGTACATATAATTTACTATCACCTACCCAATGAAACGGGAACCCTTTAGTTACAAACACACGGCTTACAAGGTTTGAGTATGACAGATCCCGATTCCATACAAGGCCTGCACCAACGCGCGCATTGCAGAGAGCTTGAGATCTAGATAGTAGTAATCAAAATTCTGAAAAGTAAAATCTGCTTCGAAGTTTAGTTTTGGTCATCCGGTGTTGCCTTCACCCCCCCCCCCCCCCCTTTAAAAAAAAAAATCAATAATCCCCCCATTCCCGAGTCCTATACTTCGCAGCGCTCAGACTTTGCATGAACTTTGGTGACCTCAACCATTGCGCTACTCACGATGTGACGAAAATGCACAGGTTCAATGACCGGTCACGATGGCGAGCCTGACAAGAAGCTTGTATAACTTTCTTTTTCTTTCTTTTTTTCCCCACAAGTGACAGCACAGGACAAAAGATTTATTTTCATGGCGACACAGCGTTTGTAATGCAGAACCTGCATGTTAGAAATGTGGCGCTATCAGACTACTATAGGTCCCACCGGCAAATTTCTAAGTGGTAACGAAAGCGAAAGTAGATCTTGATTCTTCCCGATCGAGCTTCGGTATCGCACATACACTTCCACTTGTTGCCGCCATAACCGCCTGTGCACGGGTAACGTACTCTCAGGCCGGGAAAGGCCGAATGAATTTTATATCACAACCGCGACCGGCAAAAATGAACTCAAGGACGTTATCGGATTTGGTTTTCAAATATTCGAGAACGTTTATGTATTTTCCCGGGTCTTTCACGAGGCAATTTACAGATTTCTTCAAATTCCTGTTGCATTCCGGGTCTCGGCGATTTTTTTCAAATGACCGGGTAATTCCAGGGGCCCCCGGGATTCCCGGGGCCTGGCAGTCACCCTGTACACGTGTTCCTGTCCGATCTGGCAAAATTCAAGGAGTTCTCAAGGAGATTTTTCCTTGAATTTGCATTCAAGGAGTTTTCAAGGACATTTTCCCTTGAATGCAAATTCAAGCAGTTTTCAAGGACTCCTTGAATTCAAGGAGGCCGCGGGAACCCTGAATATAGTCAAAATTGTATACGGCGGCCATCCATTGTTGAGGAGAAAAGTGGTTCACTCAGATAGCTGAGACAGGTGGTAGTCTTGGAAATTGTCATTAATTATCATTTTAAAAAACACCTGGGGGTTGGGGGAGTGGGAAGGACTTGTTTGTACCAGTGGTTGTCTTGGGCAGGTGGTTGTTAGATTAGGTTCGACTGTAATAATTACCTTTCTGGATCGGATGAGTCGATGATCTCTGAACTCCACCAGCTGGGCCTGGAGTGTTAGGTCACTGTTGACCAGGAAACTCTCTCGGCACTGCTGGTACAGGCTCTGGAAGGACATGCCTGAAACATAGATAGGACGGTCAAGGACGTGGGCAGGATGGTGAAGGACATAGATAGAGGACAGTCAAGGACGTGGACGAGAAGTTCAAGAACATAGGACGGTCAAGGATGTGGACAGGATGGTCAAGAATATAGACGCGATGGTCAAGAATGTAGACGGGATGGTCAAGAATGTAGACGGAATGGTCAAGAATGTAGACGGGATGGTCAAGAATGTAGACGGGATGGTCAAGAATGTAGACAGGATGGTCAAGGACATTAATAGACAGGAAAATCAATGACATGGGCAGGACAGAATGGTCAAGAACATAGATTGACAGGAATGGACTTCCAAAGACATGCTATAAATGCTGAAGATTAAAGGTGTTGCTAGAAAGAAACATACAAAGAAAAGAAGGAGAGGTATGAATGCAAAATATTTGATATAAAAAATAGAGCAGACCACACCAGGGCACCTGCCAACCACCAGCACTGATGGTGTTTTGCTTGGGTAAAAAAAAAGGAAGCACATCGACACAATAACAATCATTCAGTGCAGGGGAAAAGTAAGACAGACAAATAGGCAAAAGAGAGGGAGAGATTAGAAAGGGGACCTACGAGGGGTGTCCTCCACCGCCAACATATACGGATGGACAATGGCTACACGACACAGAACTTATAAGTGGTCCATGAACTCACACCTCAATAATGCAGAGGCTGTTTGGTTAAAAAAAAGTTTTATGACGCTCGAAAAAACATAAGGTCATATGAGTGAACATGCTAAGACTATCATAAATGCAACCAGTTCATAAGCAATACAGTGGAATCCTGTTATAACGAGAGGGAGGGGATCGAAGCAAAGTGTCCGTTATAGCAAGATTCTCGCTATAAGGGATCCAGTAATAAATTCAAGGGAAACTGTAAAGTAGGCCTAATCTATGAGTTTGGTGTTCTGTTTTTCCTTTTGCTATCTCCCCTGATGATGATTTTGTTTCAACATGACCTCTAGGTCTTACTTGACAAAAAATCGAATCAGGTTTGTTTCTCTAGCGCTAGATCTAGTCATGTGGACTGACAACTCGGCATTGGCTATCAGAAAGAAAGGGCTCTGAGCTAACTCGCCCGCTGTGTTTTCCCCCCATCCCACCCAACACTGTGGTGCATTCTGTCTGCTTGCGCAGTTAACACATTCGCTCCATCCATCACATTGCTGTGACCTCTCCATCCCCGCATCGGAGAAGTGAGAGGCATTGCAGGCCTTGATAATCTAAACTGGCCTATCACGCAATGTGTTCTGCTTGTCTGCGCTTGCCACACCCTCCCTACTCAGTTGCTCCGGCCTTCATTGTTGACACACAAGCGCTCTCCCATTCTTTGTTTCGCTAGATCACCAACTAGTTTCTCAACTGGCGAGGTTTTACATTATGTATAATTGGCCTATGCACTGTGCACAGCAGCAGCAATATTCCGCTATAACCGACTCGCAAGTGTGTCTGATTGCGCTATATCAGTATTTTATTTACAAAGGGAAAGAGGAGAAAAAAACGGGGTTTTAGAATAGTGTCTTTATAACAGACTTCTAGTTTTTTCCGGACTCGTTATTTACGTAGACTCCACTGTATTGACAATGACTAAAACAGCATTTATTTATAAAGTATTCTGGATAATGGATGAGGAGAGTAAAGTAATGATCATGTGTAGGACTAAAACGATCAATTTTATGTGCGGGCCTAAAACGATCTATCTATCCCAGAAGCTGAGTTCTGCATGTCTTTACATAACATAAAGTCAAAACAGTAAAAAAACAGAAGAATAGAGATAAGTGTCCAAAACAATCTCTCATTGTCAAGGAATGGTTGTCTTAGACAAATTAATGTTCTGGACAGTGTCATTAAAATACTAATACACTGATACAAACCCTCCCTCCCCCTAAAAAAGCAACCAAGCCTAAAAAAAAACAACAATCCCCAAAAAACACAATGTGAGAAGTAGGAAGTGGTCGTTTGTACAGGGCCCAACAAAACAAACTTTTCAAAAACACATAGCTATCGTACTATACTGATAAACTGACCAATATAGGCGGAGTTGTCACAAGCCTCCATCTGGTGACGGGCCAGCAGGAGAAAGACGCGGCGTCCATTAGGAGTCAGGCTGTGCATCACGTGTAGGATGGAGCTCAATGCCAGTGCCCCCGACTGTTGAACCAGCAGCGAGTTTTCGTATGCGTTCTCTGACTCGTAAGGCAGGAAGGTCGCAGTTTCAAACCAAAGCCAGCGGAAACGGAAGTATTTGTTTTGGTCCCATACTGTGCAGGAGGAGAGGGGAGAGAGAACAAAGAATACTTCATTATAATTAGTTTGTTTGAGTGTGAGGAAAGGACTATACTTAGTGTATATATACGTGTGTGTGTGTGGGGGGGTGTGTGTGTGTGTGTGTGTGTGTGTGTGTGTGTGTTTATGTGTTTATGTGTTTGGGGGGGGATGAACATAATGTAATAAATGCCCAAGTCAATTTCTGATAGTTTCCACTTAAAGTCGTTATTCGAATACAGACATCAAAGGGCATCATATAGAGTCTAATACATTTTTGCTTTGTTTTTATAATTCCTTCCTAGTTTTTAACTGAAAAAGAACGAGTGCCCAAGTCATAGTCCTGGTTCGGTCACCACCATTGTCATTAGACGCACACGACTGTGGAATGACGGTGATGATATAACACTTTATCATTAGTTTGAGAGAGAGTAAGTGTTTACACTGAGCCCAGTACTTCACAAGGACAAATCAGTTGGCCAACTGTTGTTCTGGACAATGAAAATAAGAGAATCATGACTAAATAGTTGTATTGTGTAGTTGTGGTAGGTTTCTAGCTTCTCTTACTTGCATAGTGCACAATTTAGCGACAGAAGTGTTGGCTCAGTGTTTTGTCGTAGTGCGGCAATGGGCTAAGAGTAAGGGGAGGGGGCCATGGAATATTTACTACCGGTATCTGTCTGAGTATGAATAAAGAGTTCATACTCTGTTGAAGTTATAAAAGTGAGCTGAAACCATAGTCCCCTGAACATCCAAGTCAAGAGTGAACAACAGAAACAGGTGAAGGAGTTTGAATATCTTGGCAGCACTTTTTCTGAAAATGGACCCACAGACAGAAATAAAAATGCGAACTCAAAAAGCCAACGCTGTCACCTACCAGCTCGCACCCCTCCTATCTCATCCAAACATCTCCATGGACACAAAGAGACAGCTTATCACCTCAAAATTCATACCAACATTATGTTATCAGTGCCAGACCTGGACCTTAAGCAAAACCCATGAAAGCAAAATCACCGCATGCGAAATGAAATGTCTCCACAAAACCCTTAACACCACAAGACGAGACAGGCAGAGAAATGAAGAAGTAAGAGCAGCTATTGGCACTGAGTCCTGCCTGCGTTACATAGAAAGACAGAGGATAAAATGGTTAGGCCTCCTGTTACGCATGTCACCTGACCAGCCAGCCTCGAGAGCCTACAACACCAAGCACTCAGGCTATAAAGGAAGAGGAAGGCCACACAAAAGGTGGATCGAGGGTGTCAAGGAAACCCGAAGAAAACATAACATCACAACTGAAAGAGCTGCGGAGCTGGCCTACCATAGAAAACTGCATCTCCCCTCGATGCTTAACGGCAACAGAGGATGAAAAAGTAAAAGTAAGTAACTCTGTCTGTTTTGTGTGTGTGTATGTATGTGTGCACGCGCGTGTGTGTGTGAGGGGGGTGGGTGGGGAACGACATAGAATACTTCACAAATTTAGTTTGAGCACAACTGTGTGAAAATCAAATAAGTCTTTATGTTGTTTTATTAAGATTTTACAGCACTCACAACTGCATAAGGTCATATGAAGCACCAAGGGGTGGATGTCGACAGAGAAGTCCAAACAGGAAATTAGGCTTACTCTGTTCACCTCTCTAGCCTAAACAGCACAAAGTCTGCTTCGACTATCAAGGCATCCCGGAAATAGCAATTAACAAGATAGTGACAAACACACAAAAGAAGTAAAGGAAAAATAATGATAGTAAGGATGAGCAAAGAAAAAGCAGCAGTTCGCCCTACGTTGTTTCGGCACAGTATGAGCACGACATTGATAAATCAGCGCATTTACAATTCTACTGGGCATAAGAACATGTTAATATTCCCCCTTTGGGAAAGGCCTAAAGACACTTCAGTCTTTAGCTTTGCCCTGGGGGGGGGGGGGGGAGAAGATCCAGATCCTGGTACATTGGTTTGGAGTTTCACGGGGTATACACACACTCTCTCACACATCCTCTCCTCCACACATATATCTGTACACATAAACAAAATAAAAAGTATGCTTGCACTCATAAACAGCCTCGTTGTTTGCTTCGTTTTAGTAGAGGTTTTACGGCACTCGAAACAGCATAAGGTCATATGAGCGCCAGAAGATTAGAGGTGTTACAAGAGAGTAACAAACATAAAAAAGAAGGAGAGGAGATAAGAACAATAGATGTTTGATAGAAAAGAAGAAGCAAACCACACCAGAGCACCCGCCAACCATCCACATAAACAGCCTCACAGTCACATGCATGATACAAATGAACAAAAGCCTTCCGCCTCAACAACTCACAGAAAGGAGCATTGATGTGGTCGATGGATGCCACGATGTGAAATCCTTCCACCTCTGCCAGGAGACTAAGGACAGCCTGAGCCCTCTCTGACCGTAGTAAAATGCCGTCGATGTTGTGGATTACAAGGAAAAAGTCTTCATCTGAGGAAAGAAAATCGGAACATAATACATTTATGTCAACATGAAGGACAATGGGAGTTGTATTTTAATACAAATAATAATAGTATGCATTAATATATGATCCCATACATAAGAAAGTTTTAGTTTTAGTTTAAGTAAGAATTTTACGGCACTAGCAACACAATAAGGTCATATATGTGCCGAAGATTAGAGGTGCTACAAGGGAGTAACAAACACAAAAAAGGAGAGATCAGGACGATAGATGTTTGATAGGAAAGAAGGAGCAAACCACACCAGAGCACCCGCCAGCACATAAGAAAGTACCCTCTACAAGCTTTAGAAATTATTACTATTACCCTCACAGATCCTATAGCATTCAGAAGAATTTTTAATTTTCTGAGAATAATTCTAGTCAAAAGGGGATAAAAATATTTGACCAAAGGCAGGTAAGGATGATAGTAGCACTAGCACTGAAATAAACATTGAAAGTAAAGAGACTACAGCACAAGAAACAGAAAGCGGTCACCTTCCACTCAGGTTAAGAATTAGTTTTACTAGTTCTTTCTTTTTAAAAAAATTTCTCTTTTGTCAATAAAAGTTGCAAAAGGGAGATCACTTTATTTAACCCAATCCGTACGCGCTGGGGTCATATTGTACCCCCGGAGTTCTATTCTTCACATTTTAGAATACTTCTTGCGCGAAGATCTCTTTAAAACTTTCAGTATTTCTCAAAAAGTCATTTTGACAGACTGCTATGCAAAGTGCACGGATCGGATTAACGAGTAAATTTCCACTTTGGAAAGTGGGGGCACAGACTTCTCCACAGCGTATGGATAAGATAGTAAAACACGACGTACGGATAGGGTTAAAAACGGGAGAAAAAGCTACAATGCTTTCAAAGAAGAAGAAGCAGAACTCTTACCTTTGTTTTTGTAAGCATTTTTAATGAATTTGATGTGTGCAAATGGGTTGGAGAAACCTGTGTGCGTCTCCCCCAGAATTTCTTCTGTGATGGAATTTAAGATCTGAAAGAAAAAAAAAAAAAAAAAACGTCTTTGAAAGAAGGTTTTTAGTCTACAGAAAAAAGAGAGCAAAACAACAGAATTCACATTTCACCTAGGGACACAGACTGCTTCAGCCACTCTCAAAAGTTCATGTTTTTCCAAAATTTTGTCCTCTGATTTGTTTGCAAGTTAGATAGCTAACTAATAACAAAGTTAAGAAAAAGAACACTGTATTTCATCATCATTTCTAAACTACCAGTGGAGTTCCACACTGTTGCTATAAACATTGTGATGATCCACTGAATCATTACAACGAATGTCTTACCTGTTTGACAGTCAAGCTTGGGAAATATCCGTTGACGACCAGGTGGGAGTATTTGGCAATGTGTTTGGTGCGGAAGTCATCCAGTAATGACCTCTTCGACCCCAAACCATACAAAAGGATGTTGTACCCGTGACTGGGGACAGAGAGGAATGTAGAGCTGTAGTCTGAAGACCTTTAGTAATATTCAATAAATAGTCAAAAGCAAAAAATAGGACCAATGTTTAACAAACAAACTCATGGAACCTTCATCCATGGTGTAGCAGATAGACACTTTGTTGTTGCACACAGGGATCAGAGGGTTCATTCCTCTGTCCCTGTCGTTTTATGAAAGAAAAATTCTGAAATTATGCAGAGCCCAAAAATGTGAAATTGTGCGATTCAGCTAATTTTCTACAAAGAATGATAAAGGAAAATAATAGAAATTATGCAAAAAATGATAAAATTATGCGGGGTGCATAAAACCACGGGGACAGATTCCTGAGTTGGGAGAATTTTTTTTTTATAGTATCTCAGTCTGTTTGCAGGGATGTTGTATCCTCTCATCCCAGACCGACCCTGACAGGCAGGGCCGAAGCCCACCTCTGAAAGGATCTAAATTGTGTTAATGGGAGCATTAAAAACAACTAGGCTATATGCAGTGGAGTCCACTTATAACGAGTCCTGAAATAACGAAAAGTCTGTTGTAAAGGCACTATTCTAAAAAAACCTTTTTCCCCCTCCTTTATCTCTGTGAATAAAATACTGCTATAGTGCAATCAGACAAACACGTGAGTCGGTTATAGCAGAATATTGCTGCTGCTGAGCACAGCACATAGGCCTTTTATATAGGCTACCATGTAATACCTCACCAGTTAAGAAAATTGTTGGTGATCTGGCGAAACAGAGAAAGGAAGAGCCCACGTGTGCCAACAATGAAGGCCAGAGCGAATGAGTGGGGAGGGAGTATCATGCACAGACAAGCAGTAGAGAAATAGAACGCATCGCGTGATAGGCCAGCCTAGTCTAGATTATCTAGGCCTACCATGCCTCTCACTTCTTTGATGCGGGGATAGAGAGACCATAGTGCTGTGATGGACGCAGCTAATGTATGATGTGCGCAAAGCAGACGGAACGCACCACAGGGTGTGGTGGGGTGAGGGACAACACAGCGGGCTAGTTAGCCCAGAGAACTTTCTTTCCGATCGCCAACGCCAAGCTGTCAACATTGCTAGCCCTGAACGAGAATCCTGCTATAACGTGCATTTCGTACCAGTCCCCTCCCTCTTGTTATAACAGGATTCCACTGTATTAATTTAATTTTTTAAAAACAAAACAAAACCAAACAACTCATGGACAAACCAAAAATTCAAAATGATGGAAAAAAAGTCTGGGAGAAGACAACCCCATCCACACAGACACACAATACCCAGTCCCGTTTTGTTGAATAAGAAACATTCTTTTTAAATTGAGTAATTTGGCTTTTAAAAAGCCCTAAACATTTTGATATTCATTTACTATCAAACTCAGTTCTCATTCTTCTACAACTTGTCCACAAATAAGAACCATGCTAATTTTTATTAACAAATTACACATGTTTATGTTATTCAATGTTTACCACTCTATAATATGAATCTAACTGTCTTGTGAGAAGCAACTTGACCTTCAACATTATTGCTTGACAGATATCTGTTTTAGTTTTAGTAAGAGTTATATTTGTCACTTGCAGCACAAGTAAGTAATATAAATGCAGTATATTAGAGGTGTCAATAGAGAACAACATACCTCCCCCCCCACCCCCTGAAAAAAAAAGGAAAAAAAAAAGAAAAAAAAAAAGAAAAGAAAAGGAAGGAAAGATAACAAGAAAAATTGTTTGATAAGAAAAAAGGAGCCAACCACATCACAGCACCCTTTAACCACAAATCCACATGTCTAAGACAACCACTTTTCTGAACAACAATGGGTAGGCCCCTCGGACAATTTCAACTTAAACTAGAATCAACAGAAGAGACTCTTGGCGGAAAAAACCCCGGACAAACAAAAAAACATACATTTAACAAACTCACCACATATTAAGCATCCATTTCCCGTAACACTGCTCATGTTTTTCTCTCAAAGCCTTCGTTTCTTTCCGATGTCCTGGGGTGACACTTTTCAGAGCCTCGCGTACGGCGGACACATCCATCCGAGGCCCATCCAAGTTGGCCAGTGTCCGGTCAGAGGTCACAGGAGCCATGGAGTGCAGGTCAAAATACGCTTCTGCTGTGGCAGTCTGAAGAAACACATGAGAAAGCCACCTTAGCGTGTGAGCAAACATGATTTCTGGCTGTGATCAGTGATAGGTAGGATGTTGCATGAATTTATAAAGTTTTAGTTCGAATTTTATAGCACTTGCAACACAGATAGTACATGTATACAAGTGCCGGAGATTAGACATGTTTCTCGAGAGTAGCATCCAAAGAAAAGAAGGAAGAGAGATAAAGACAATAGAAGTTGGAAAGGAAAGGAGCAAACCACACCAAAGCACCCGCCAACCATGGGTGAATGTTCAAAGACATAAAAAAACCTGAAGAGGTAGGGTGGGAATTTTTAAAAACCTGAAAGTCATCGTACAGAAAAATAAGATGGCAAAGACAACAAAACACATCTCTGGGCGAACTGAGAGATAGTTTCAGGCCTCAAGGCATGTCAAGGGGTGGTTTATCCCCAAAGAGCGGATGGGGACTTTTTCAGGACTACTGTCCTGCTTCAAGACCATTGTTTTGCATGTTGCGTAGTTGACGGTTTTTACATAACATACGTAAGTGCTGGCCCCTGTAAAAAAAAATGGCAGACCTAGGTCTGTAAAACCACGCAGCCAACCATCTCCAATTCAGTGTGCTGACATCTGTGATGGATTAGTAAGGGATTTCATCTTGCAAGAAGGGAAAGTGACTTTCATTTCCAGGAGCATGTGAAGAAGATATTTTACTGGGTAAGTCAATGTTTTTGCTGGGTCATAGTAGGTCAAATTCATTCAAAACGCGAAGATTTCAGGCACCATGCAAAACAAGCAACAAAAAAAAAATCATATAATGACAAAGCACAAACTCATATAATATAATGTCTTCATGTAGTCCGTGACAATGTTTAGGTATACAAAAATTAATGGAAACCTTGGGCTTATAATTCTGATTCTGTAAAGCCACAAAACTATTAAAATGGCTTTTTAATAAACAATTTTGCTTGCTTCACAATAAAAGGCCATTTTCAGAGGCCCGGTGCTTGAAAGTTTATTATCCTTTAAAGTTAAAACATCATAAAGTTATTGATAGCAATGAAGGGCATCTGCTGAATTTTTTTCTTTGCCAGCATAGAAGAAAAAAGGTATGAATTATGTAATCGTGAAGATGTTCAAATGACTTGTTTCGCACATAGGCAAAAAGATGATGCAAATTGGACTATTGGGGTAGGCCCTACTTGTTCGTAGTATCCCACAAACACCCAGGCCTACTCTGACAGGAAGTGCCAAAACATCTCCACTTCTAAACGACCTAAACAGTGTTGACGGAGAGGTGAAACATTTACAATCACTCACTTTGGTCTACTAAGATTGAGTATGTGGTATAGAGAGCAGCAAGCAAGCAACAGAATCGTAGACACTTGAAAGGGAATCTGTCATAGAAACAATGAATTATGGAGGTCCGCACCTCCCTTCACAATCTGCACTTAGCACCTGCACCATCTACAAGCACACAGAAGTATACGTAGACATGAACCAATATACTTGTGGGTGGTCGCGAGAGTGTGCCCTTGAGCAGGACACAATAACCCTCGCTCAAAATCAGGACATTGCACAGTGGTGGCCAGCAATGGTGTATTTGTAAGATTTTTTTTACTGGTGTGAAATCGATATTGTGTGTGATTGTGTTTATGTGTGGTGTGTGTGCGCATGTATGTGAGTAACCACAGAGTGTGCATGTGTGCAATTTTAAGGCCGGTCCCAGAGTGGCTATGTAGGTCTGACCTGTAGCTCGCCTGGCTCGCACCGTGTAAATGAATGTATACATTATCGTGTGCTTAAGCAGCGTCGCTGTGTCGTCTGTTTTTTTGTCAGCTGAGCTGCGCAATGCGTCAGACGTACTATTCAACAGTTTTGTAAAAATGGCGGACATGTGTCGCCTCGCTTCGTGTTTATTTTCGACAGAAACTCTTCACAGATCATGAAAATCAATAAAAAGTAAGTATCATTAGGTGCTTTACTATTAAATATTGATGCTAGCATCAACACTTGGCCACAAAATCACCCAGAAATGCACTTTATCATACTTTGAAACTTCGAATCGAGAGGTTGACCTAGTTTCGACTTGTCGTAGGCCTAGATCTACGTGTGCTTCTCTAGATTCTAGATCTAGATCTAGCCTTGCATTGTAACTAATGTAAACTGTCGCCGCGCGCAGCTGCAAGTGTGTTTGGGGGGGGGGCTGCCCTTGGCACATGACGTAAAGAAGAGTTGTCCCGTCTTGGTATAATTAGTCTTGGATTGGGGGCTCTCGTGGCCTAGAGGTTAAGGTGTTGGCCTCTCATTCAAAGGTCCCGGGTTCGATTCCGGGTAGCAACCAAAAAATTTTCTTCTCTAAAATTGTCTCCTTTCACCTCCTTTCCTGCTCTCTAGCAATGTTCTGTTGTCTGCTTTCATTTCCACTTTCTGCCCATACCCCCTCACCTCATTTGCCCCCTCCTCTGGGCTCCTGACTCTTTCTGCAGCCTTTCTACTGCTACTCCTTGGCTCCTCCTTACTGCTGTCTTTCTGCCACACCCCTGATCTTCTGGTAGGAAATATCTACACCTAGCCTTCTCGGTGCAGGTTGCGCACGTTAAAGATCCCTTGGTGGTCTAAAATCGATAAGAGTAGGCTTCGGCCACCACCCGGGCAAAATTCAAAATTTCCTACCAACTGAAAATATTAGGAGTGTCCCGCGCGCTCATATGACCTATGCAGTTGCGAGCGCCGTAAAACACTTTACAAAAACAAACAAACAAGTCTTGGATTACACAGTACCTAAATATAGCAAGGCAGACCCGTCAGTTGCACACCTACACACGTCAACACAGTGCGGCTGTGCTGAGACGCAGCGAGTGTTCCTCGCGCTCGCTGAGACACAGGCGCCAACCCACAGTGTGGCTGTGCTGACATGCACACGGCGTGCGCCAGGCCAGCTACAGGTCACACCTACAGAGCCACTCTGGGACCGGCCTTAGCCTCATTTCCCAGCAGTGAAGAGGAGATTTATTTCACGGATCTATTCATTATATATGAACCTCACCGTGTTCATGGAACCACCAGAACCACCGGTCGACTGGGCCTCAAAGCCAGAGTTTGAGTTCTTGCCCACACCATTTTCTTCCTCCTCATCTGAAGATTCATCTACACTGTCATCTGATGAAGATTCTGAAAGACAAGAAAATAGATTGAAAATGAAAGTGATTTTATAAACTTTAATAATTCACATCCCCATCTCAATATAATTCTGATCATTTAGGAGTCAGGCTGCTTCAACCTTGCCACTAAGGGTCAACCCAGACTGACAGATGCTCCATAAAATAGAATACTCCAAGCTAGAATTTAACTCACGCCTTTTGGCAAACACCTTAAGAAAAATACACCATACACGATAGTAAAGAAAGAGGAGCAGCCGAGGAGGCCACTTAAACCGTATATGGTTAATCTGAAAATAGTAGTAAACTGAAAGAAAAGAAAATCTTCAATTATTTTTTTCCTTTTCAACAACCTCTCTTAACTCTTATATTTTGGTACGTCAACTGACTAGATGCTGTATTATGTTGGTTTTTATTTTTTCTCTTGCTTTCCATCCTCATTTATTTATCAGACATTTTCGCAAGCCTAAACCAAAGATTTTCCGTCGAGAATCTTTGCCTAAACTGCAACTGCATCCCTGTCCATATGATGTATATATATATATATATATATATATATATATATATATATATATATATAATATATATGTATATATTCTTCTTCTTTTCTTTTAAAAACTTTGTTGGGTAATACATGCTAGTAGTTTGGAGCCAGCTGTTTTTATGCTGAAAGAACTAATTTATTGGCTATGAACTCATATATTTAAAACTTCCTGCAACAAAGCAGGCAATATACCTACGATTTGTTGGAGTTAACCGAATACCCGGCTAAACTGAAGCAAACCAAGCGCTCCCGCACACAATGTATTTCGTTTAGAGCATACTCCACTTTTTAGTTTAGGGGGCGGGGCGAAAATGACAATATTATGTTTGATGGGAAAAAAGGCACAACCACACCAGAGCACCCGCCAACCGCCCGCTGAGACTCCATTGTAGGATACTGCTATTCCTAACTAGATCTAGTAACAGTTCTAAACAAAACAGAAGGGAGTACATTGTTGGTTAAAGTTGTAACTAAAGACAAACACGCAAAGAAAAGAAGGAGAAGATATATATTGGAAGATAGGCGTTTGGTAGGAATGAAAGAGCAATTTAAACCACACCAAAGGGAATCCGCCAACCACCTAGGATCAACAGAAAAATGGGAACAAACGCAAAGAGATAGCTGCTTCTTCCATCCTTTAGCAAAAACGAAAAAAAGAAGAAGAATAAAACGTATTACATTATCGAAATAGGCTCGTCCCACTCCTTCTAATGCGCCCCCACCCCCTTTTCCACCTTCCCTGTCAGCTACATTTTCGCTGTTCTTGCAAACCCCTGCGATCCTTTTTACCACCCCGCCCGCTTTTCCAATCTGCTTACGCTAACAAAACATATCAAGGCTAATATCAATACATTTTAGGATATCCTTCATGCAAAGCGCCTTTTATGCCCCCCTCTCTTTCTTTCGTTTTCTCTTTCTCATCCGCACCTGATGAAAACCTATCATAAAGAGAACATAAAACAAGAACTAAAATATCTTGATTCGCAGACCTACCTGATCGTGCGAGTTTTAGTATTGCTCATTTCGTTTCGGACATCAAACTTTTTTTCATACTGTGCTCCCAATTCCCAATCCAACTTCCGGAATTTCTTTCCGTAAACATAACATTGGCTTTTTTGCTAATCTGGATATCTAGCAGACAAAAATAAAACACTTGCGGCTCTCTAATAAGTTGAGATGCTGTGATGCAGAGACATAGACACCATTTGCTTGGAGTAAAACAGGCAGAAAAAGAAGCGTGTTCCAACATGATTAATTTCTTGCTTGGTGCAGCACATCCCCCAGAAAGTGTAAATTATAAACAAGTTGATAGAAATCGAATTCTAATTCTACTTTCATTCTTAGGACAAGCGTCACAAGGTCTCTACGAGACTCCCCATTCCGGCCACACGCACCCTGTAACAGAAACTGTAATAGCCGAAGCGACCACTAAATATCACAATTAAACTTCAGCTGCTAGATCTACCTATTTGAAAGGAAAAAAAGAAATCTTGTGCTGTGCATAATTTTTATGAACTTTACATCGTCATTAAGATCAGGTGTCTTAAACTTGGACACAAGACGCAAGCTCAAATGGCAGAAGACTGCATGCTTGGTGGACTAGATCTAGTTAGTCCGTTAGCTGTAGCAGGTCTTCCTGGTCATGAGCCTTGCACAAGCAGTGTTGACTTTGCTATCAAACTTGAAAAAGTTGCAGGGTTATTTCTTGAGCTTCTCCAGGAAAGTAAAATAAAACTTCTGGATACACCACTCTCTGCAATTTCTCTGATTTGCGATGTGGCAAAGTTTATGCAAAGAGAAAATGATATTAGTTTGCTCTGTAGCTCCCTTGACACAAAAGAGCAAGCAACGCAAACCAGACTTGTATTTCAAGACATTGAAATTCTCTATACAAAGGCACAACAATGCAAATCGACCCAAAATGATTTCACAGCAACAGACAGGAAGGATGGGAACCCTGACACAATTGGTGACACATCTGGAAAAGTGGCCTATAATAACAATAAAAGTAGGAAATTGAACAAATCTGTGTTCGACGATGACTTTTATGATGTTGAAGACGAAGGGTCTCAAATTACAAATACTAGTATAATAAAAAGTGACATATGTGACGATTATGTGTTAGAACCCTCTGTTGCTGAAGATCAGTCAAAAGAATTCAAATGTTCGTATTGTTCAAAAGTGTTCATAGACAGACGGAATCTGAAGTCTCATTTATGGATTCACGAGAAAGAAAAGTCGTATGAATGCAGCATTTGTGGAAAAAAATTCCTTCGGCCCCATCAACTCACTCGACATAAAAGAGTGCATACAGGAGAAAAGCCCTACAAGTGTTCAGTTTGTTCAAGGGCTTTTGGTGATGTTTCAAATTTAAACGCCCACATGAGGAAAGAGCATCCAAAAGAAGCATTCAGTAGACAGTGTGACATGTGTGGGCAGGCAAGTAAATCACTGAAAACAAATTTTGTGATTTAAAACTAGATCAGTTTGAAACTTTTCATTGGGTCAATTCTAAAAAATTAAACAGGGAGGGTTGCATTTTTGTCTTTAACTTAAACCGGGTGGGTTGGATCAAGCTGCGTAGTCCCAAAGGCACTGAAAATATCTGGCATCCCAATACAGTGCAGCCTCTCTATAATGAATAATGACCTTCGAAACGACATCCTCTGTATAGTGACCTGGTGCCCAGGTCCTGATTTTTTCATTTACAGATATACATATCATGTGAGTAATTTTTCGTTGCCTCTCTTTAACGACAACTCTATAACAACATTTTTTTCTGGTCCTGACGATTTCGTTATAGAGAGGATGCACTGTATTGAAAGAAAAGCAACTGAAAGTATCGCAAATTACAGTTGGGGACGGACAACTCACCAATGCCAGGGGCTAACGACAAATGTGTTTGACATATTCTATAATCCTGGTAAATTGAATAAAATGAAAAATTAAAGCGATCAGTTATGGAATGGCAAAATGTTTGAGCTATCAGGGATTAAGTTTTCCGCGTTCATTTTATCTGTGACCGACTAAATATTTACAGCAAATATAAAAAGTCATTCAAGAAAATGTACATTTTTACATATAAACATTATGGATTATGATATGAAATCATATCAAATGAGAAAGAAGGATTAGACCATGACTTATAAATAAACACAATTGATGTTCTAAGTAACTTTTTATCTTCCGCTTACAGAGGTGCCCTTCTTCAGAAGAATTGGAGGAGCACATTAAAGCACACCATGCGGAAGAAACAGAACAAAAGGAAAAGCTTGGTCCCAGGACCAGGGGGAGCTCTAAGAGTAAGAAAGACACTTCCAAATCCCAGCCTTCCAAGAAACAACCAAAGTCTCGAGTACCCAAGAAACGGGACCGGTCATGCCAAAAAAGCCAAGATGCGAAAGACACTTTTCAATGCAAGATTTGTGGCAAAGTGAGTAGATCTACACGGCACAAATTTTAGAGGCTAACCTCAACTAGAAATTAGTTTCAGCCTTTGTCCTTCATGTACCAGACTGAAAAGAAAGCTCGCCCAAGAAGGGCAAAAAAAAGTCGGAAATCTTTAACTCACTCACTACTAATAAAATAAAGATAGCCCTGATGAAAGTACAGCTCAGTTTTATTGTTACTTTTTTTCCACAAGTTTTCAAAAATTGGTCAAAAACTGCGTTCCCTTAGCCTCTCTTAGTACTCCTACTCACGCCCTTCCCCACTACTGCAACCCCAGATTTAGGTTATGGGGGCCCTACTAAACCTTACTACTCTTCTTTATAAATTTCCCCACCCAGTTTGTCATTACAATCTTCGACCAATTCATCGGTTTCTGAGTCACTTTCGTTGTCTAATGTTCGAAAACGGTCAAAGAAGCGATCTACCATAGTGGGAAGTAAATTTAGTTGTAAGGATGGCTATAGTAAAAATCAATAACTCAACTTGTGCTGGTCTGATTTCGGTTTCGTTTCTTTCTAATGAAAGATAATTGAATGGGCTACGAAAAAGGCGAACCAGTACCATAAACGGTGTGGTTTTAACATGAGAAAAAAAAATCCAAAGTGCGAACCGCGAGGGTTGCCGGTGTGGTATCACAGCGTCAAAGCTAATTTTCCCGCAACAGTCGCGGTTGTGGTAGTGAGTGAATTAAACACACAATAGCCAAGTTCTGAAGTAGCTGTGCCACAGCATCAGTTTGATGAATTAGACTCTACGGTAACTATGGGCGCCAATATGATTTTTAAAAAATGCAAGACACCCATCAAGAACAGACTGATAATACTATCTCTTTGATTCCTTAGTTTATCTTATACGAAACTGTACAGTCTTTTTAGCACTTCATACTTTGTGTCAAGAACATGCTTCGACTGCTCAGTGTAAAATCTCCATTATGCGTCACAAAATGGTGTATGGTGGAGTTTTACACTAAGCAGTCTATTTGATGTCATTTTTATTGTTCTAGCATATTTGTATAATATAATGTAAATCCTAAATGTTTAAAGAAATAGGATAGTAGAAGGCACTGGTGATTTGAGAGTTACAAATATTGGTGACAAACTGAAGGTCTTAAGTTCCCTGTTTGGAGAAAAATTGATTTTTATGGCACAATGTAAACATAGGAAACATTTGGACACAGACACAGACATACGGAACTGCAGTTGTAGAAAAATGGACTTCAGCTCCTTCAGTGCTCTATTTTGGTTTACATCAACATGTTTTGCTTTATTCTTTCATTTATTCAGTCTCTAAACCAACGATGTGCATTGTTGGCCCACATGAAGCGACATGTGTCAAAAAAATGCTATCGATGTGAATTCTGCAATGAAGAGTTCAAAGAATTGAAGGAGCTCAAAGCCCATGCCCGCAAACACACCAGTGACCGTCCCTACACATGTAGCGAGTGCAACAAATGTTTCAAGTCTCAGGGCACCCTCAAGGCGCACATGCTGATTCACACAGGTAGGCTTAAGACTTTCTGAATGCTTTCGGGTGATCTTGTGAGGATAATTAGTTTGTTTGAAATTTGAATAAAGAGAAGCATATCGACACAATACAGTGGAACTCGGATTCAACGAAGTGATGGGGCCAGGCTTTCTATTTCGTTCAATCCAAGTTTTCTTAGAGCAAACATGAGGTGTTGGTGTAGATAATTACAGGTATCGAGCAAGTAATGTATAGTGTATTCGACTTTCTCAACCAAAAGTTGTTAGATTTCAAATGAGAAACATTTTCGTTTCTTTGATACCGAAGAAATGCTGGAAAATTCCAAAAGTGCCAATTCATTCAAATGCAGGCCTTTGTCATCTGTCATTTAGATAACATACTGTTTGCCGAACAAGTTATGTTTCTGTGTAGAGCCCAGGTCAACGTTTTATTCCACAGTCCAGCACGCAATTCATTACATTGATCTATGTCAAGATTAGCTTATCATTGTAATATATAGATCAGTAGCCAGTGTGTCTCGATTGTACCTTTATAACTGACATTCCACACCTGAATCGCTTGTACCCCAACGCCCATCTCACACACGCACATACAGTCACACATGTGCTGGTCACCCGTCCGACCCTGACATATGCTAAGACATGGGTGCACGCAAACAAGGCGTGTGTTGATATGAAAGGAGGCCGCTGATGGGACGCAAAAAGCAGTTCACACAGCAAGCGACTTTGTTAAATCCGAGCTAGCTCATTCATGTGTTCGTTGAATCAGAATTAATTGTATTTTGATTTTTATGAATAAAAAAAATCAGGGGAATCCTACTCCTTTTGTTGAATTGGAGTTCCACTGTAATGGTCATTTAGTACATGGAAAAGACAAGGCCCAGAACTGCTTTAGCCCAGCATATTTCGCCTTTACTAACTGTGTCATATTGGAGTCAAACTCATGCCTTCTGCATGAATGTAGAGTTCCACTGTTAAAACATCAAATAAGTCCTATTAAACATTGTCACTCCGCTTCTATTACTGTACAAATACAAATTGTCGTAATTTGGATCTTTTTTCCAGTTTCATGATACAGTGGGGGTCGCATTCAACGAGAAGTCGGCTCCAACGAGACAATCCTTAATCCCCGATTTTTTTCCCCCTCTATATCTCTTTGTAAATGTACGTCAGCTCCAACGAGTTTGCAAACAGATCGAAGTTGCTTTCAATGAGGTCGCGATAACCAAATAAAAGCAATTAGCGGCCCCAAAAGTGAGGAATTTTTCTCTTTTCTCTCCGTCTCACGCGAAGCGCAAGGTCTATCCTCGATTCCTAACACATTGTATTGCTAGTTGCTAGATCTAGCGTGCCTCATAATGGGCCCCAAAGCCAAGAGGATGGGTGAGGGTTAGCCTACGGTAGGGATGGGAGGGAACGTGATACGGGCTGTGTGAGGTGAAAGTTGATGAACTCTAGAAGGGTAGGTCTTGAGGGAGACCATTGTTTTCAATTAAAAAAAATAATTTTTGGGACCCTGCCCAGATTGTTCAAAATTTTTTTTTCTTTTCTTCCCCTAATCAGAAAATCCAAGCTCTCGCCTTTACTTTATGTAGATCTAGGCCTAGATGTGAGAGGGTATGTTTCCACACGAAAAGTGTTCCGGATAAAAAAAATTTTGAAATGCAGAAATGACGGCCTGAGCACCGCTCAAACACGCACACACTGATGCTGTTTGAGATTCTCGTCATCAGGGGGAACAACAGTTTTAATTACTGGTATTGGTAGGCCTACATCGTGTAATATAATAACTTGTCTCCTTTCTTTTCTTTAGCCTTAGTCACGTTCAACGAGAGGTCGGATCCAACGAGGACAACAAGGAGGTCCCGGCAACCTCGTTGAATGCGACACCCACTTTACATTCTTTCGAGCTAGATCTATAAGATACGGCAAACATCATGTACACTATAAGTATTCTGTATTCAATTTCTTTTGGAACAGGGAGACTTCCATACAGTTGTCAAATCTGCGGCAAGTCATTTTCACAAACCTCAGGACTCAATGTTCACAAGTTGACGCACACAGCTGAAGAGGAGCGAGCAAAGAGAGAGAACAACTCCAGTGAATTCACATGTGATATTTGTGGGAAGGTACTTGACCTCATGTGTTCACAAAGAAATCTAAACTTCATGCTTAAATATTATTTCTATTGGCTGGATTGAAGTTCCATTCCTTTTTTGACAAAGCAAAGTGCTATTTTCAAGCCTTAATGCTTCAAATAAGTTGAGGCTTGCTTTAACATGCACTCTATAATTAACATTTATTCATAGGAGCTTCATTACAAATTTGTACCCTTAGCAGAAGACTTTACGAAGGTTGAAAATGTACTCATTTCAAAATGTTTTGAAAAGTGTGGGACAGCTAGATTTTCTTAGTTTAACCTCGGTTTTCAGTTTAGAGAGGTTGCTAACAAAAACACAAACAAAAAAACAAAAAAACCCAGGGGACTTTTTGTTCTGCTGTTTTAGTACTTTTAGGATTAACCGTGTTTGGTTTTAGCAGACTCCTCTGTATATTGCCAGATCCTGCTGTTTGTTGCAGCAGTGTGATTAGGCATGATTTAAATTTGAAAACAGCTCAGGGTCACTTTATGGCTGCTGAAACAGAAAGGAAAAGACGTGCTATGATGGTACAGTTGTCACAAATATTTTTTTGTATCGAAATTGAAACCATCATAAACTGCAACTAAAATCTTTCTATACCCACAGGCATACAAAACAAAATTCCGACTCACTATCCATGCAAAGTCACATGACAGTAAGCGAGACATGCCATGTGACTTCTGCGACAAGAAGTTCCAATCAGGCCACGACCTTGCCATCCACCGGCGTACCCACACCAAGGACAAGTATGCGTGTCGTTTGTGTGGGGCCAGCTTCAAGTCTCGCAGTGTCTACTACTTCCACACCCGCACACACCCAAGTAGGTACCAGTTTGTTAACATTTCTGTTTTTATCTTTGTGTACTGTTGCTTGCAACACTCCTGCTAGACTGGTCGTTTAGGAAAGTTGAACATCTGCTGCTCCCCTCTTCTAGCTCATGCAGATTGAAAATGTTTTACACCCTGTTTGATGCAATTGCAGAGAGAAGAGAAAACTGCCACATTTCCTAGACCCCCATGGAACATGTGTCAATTAACCCTCATGAAAGAACTTAACACTAAGACTAACACGCATGTCATTTCCTACATTGGAACATCATCATCGCCAACATAAATAATCATCCTCATGCTCACTATCACAATTACCATTACCGTCACCATCGCCAACAACAACATCATCATCATCAGCAGCATTATCATCATCATCATTACCGACTCAACAATTCCCCTTTCATATAACAATCTGCACCATTACTTTCTTTTTACGTAACCAACAAAAACGGGCACCAAAATCAGGACATGGGGGAAACAACAAACAAAAAAAAACCCTCATGAAAGAAGAAGAGTATCCTGTTTGGGGGGATAGCATAGCATGCCGTATATGTTATAATTACTATTATTTACACTGTCAAGCACGATATTTCTACAGCAAGTCCTTGAAATCTACTCTGTATACAGTTGCATTATTACATGCAATGTTTCTGATTACCACAATGATGAGGTGTGGAGCTTTCTATTTTCGTTAGTGCAAAATGTAAAAGAAAGCTTATGGTACTGATTTGCTCATGTAAGATGTGCCGTGCTTGCAACCTGTCTCCCTATCCTTCTGCACTTCATGAAAGAGAACCACTAGTCACAAAGCTCAGCTGCATTTTCAATAAGAGGCAATACAAAAGAAGAGAGAAATGTTACGTGACAAAGTATTTTAATTCAAGTTTCAAGGACTCTGCAAGTCCATGATCGTGAAACTTTAAGACAAATAATTTTTGGTGTATCAACAGCTGAACGTCCCCATCTTTGTCATACCTGCGGCAAATCTTTCACTCGGAGCTACGACCTCACTGCCCACAAGCGCAGACACACAGAATCGGCAGACAAACAACTGGGGCCGTATGGATGTGAAGTTTGTGGAAAGGTACATCGAGTCTGCTTTTAACTCGAGTTTTTTCCCATTGTGTCGATGGGGTTGTAAAAACACCTACATATAAAGAATTTCTTTAGGGACACTGTACATTTATTTTGTTGGGTATTCTTCTCTTCATTGTTGAATTTGTTTCAAGCTTTCATTTTAACACACAGATCTACATTAATTTATTCAAGCAAAATTCACTGCATTGTTTTGATTTCACATCAGTCTACAGTAGAACTCGGATTTAACGAGCTCAGATTCAACGAGAATGCGGATTCAACGATATGAGATAGATTCCCCGTTTTTTTCTTCTTTAAAATCAATAAAAGTAACCCGGATTCAACGGGCACTTAAATCAGCGAGCTCGGATTCAACGAGGCCGCTTAGAGGGTGAACAGCCCCCGCAGACGTGGCTTCGCAAATTTTTCTCCCAGAATGAACTTTGTCTATTCCTGGAAAATATCCATTGCACCTGCATCGTGAACCATTATTCACTAAGCCGATTGCATGCGACCTATACGTTCTTCTACAACCAACACATGCGTTGTTGGCTTGGCACGCGTCTACTCTGGCGTGTGTAGGGGTCGGTTGGGCGGCCTGCACTCTTGTGGCTGTGTGTGCGAGTCGGGGAGGGGGCACTAGCGGTCCGGGCGTTGAACGTCGCAAATACAAACGCGTCAGTCTTTTTTTCTCCTTGGCAACTGATCATTATTACAATAATAAGCTAGTCTTGACGTAGATCTGCAGACTGAATTGAGCCCTGGTCTATGGAATCAAAAGTTGCCGTATGCTAGGCTCTACACAGCAACACAACTTTTTGGTAAACAATCGAGATGACACAGGCGTGTGTGTTTGAACGAATCGGTCTTTTTTTTTTACACAGCTCATAATATGCAGGCATTTCAGGCACTACTTGTGACTTCTCTTGTACATTACTTGCTCAGTGCCTGTAATTATCTACTCAAAACCCCGCGTTTGCTATATCGAACACTCGAATTCAACGAGATGTTAGGTCAGGCCCGACGACCTCGTTGAATCCGAGTTCCACTGTATTAGTTATAACAGCAACTGCTGTGTACAGTGTGCCTTTACTGCCAGAGAATATTATATAGCAAAGATCTCATTATTTTAATCCCCTTTCTTGTCAACACTACAATCCCCAAAGAATTTCTATCTCATGCTTTCAGGCATAACAGGAATTTAATTACACCCTGTACTCATGGGTGTACAGTGGAGTCCACTTACAACGAGTCCTGAAACAACGAGAAGTCTGTTATAAAGACACTATTCTAAAACCCCGTTTTTTCTCCTTCTTTATCTTTGTAAATAAAATACTGCTATTGCGCTATCAGACAGTCACGCGAGTCGGTTATAGCGGAATAATTGCTGCTGCTGTGCACAGCCCACAGACCAATTAAACATATTAAAACCTCGCCAATTGTTGGTGATCCAGCGAAACAAAAAATGGGAGAGCTCACGCGAACCAACAATGAAGGTTGGAGCGAATGAGTGGGGAGGGTGTGGCATGTGCAGACAAGCAGAACGCATCGCGTGATAGGCCAGCCCAGTCTATATTATTATACATGTGTATCTAGGCATACCGTGCCTCTCACTTCTCTGGTGCGGGATGTAGAGGTCACAATGCTGTGATAGATGGAGTGAATGTGTGACGTGCGCAAGCAGACGCAACGCACCACAGGGTGTGGTGGGGGACAACACAGCGGGCGAGTTAGCCTAGAGCCAGAGCCCCTTCTGTCTGATCGCCAACGCCGAGCTGTCAACATTACTAGTGCTAGTCCTAGAGAAATAAACCTGATTCGATTTTTGATCTAGTAAGACCTAGACATCATGTTGAACAAATCATCATCAGGGGAAATACAAAAAGGAATGAGCGGAACGCCAAACTCATAGATTAGGCCTACTTTACTATTTCCCTTCAATTTATTACTGGATCTCTTGTAACGAGAATCCAGCTATAACGGACATTTCGCACCGGTCCCCTCCCTCTCGTTATAACAGGATTCCACTGTACCAGGAAGTTACACATCATCAGATTTTTAGGAATTTCTCTTGACATTTCAGGTGTACCAAATGAAGAACAGCCTCAAAATCCACATGAAAATCCATCAGGGAATCTTCGACCACCCGTGTGACTTCTGCGAGAAGAAGTTCAAATGTCCGGCCGAGCTGCGTCACCACAGACGTGTGCACACGCTAGAGAAACCGTACAAGTGTGAGACGTGTGGCAGGAGCTTCTCGCGACACAGCACACTGGTCAACCATCGACGAACACACTCTGGTGGGTGTGCTAGTATTCCACATATCGCTTCCTCAGAATTACAAAGTTTTATCTGCTCAGTACCTAGTTTTGAGAAATTTGACACCAAAGATTTCAAATTTCACAAAACATCAAGCTTATTCTAATGTAATTCTTCAAATAACAACTCCTAATAATCTAATGATTTTGGTAGAGCTCGGTCTTAGTAGCTCAAAACAGGTAGCGATATGTCTAACATAGAGTCTAGCATGCAACATAGCAAAATTGACATGGAAATCAAAATCCAGGTATGGAACACCAAAACGCATGACCAATATACAACGGATGCCAGTAACACTTCTATGACATGTGTAATAAACACGTCCTTGGTCTACACTGTTGCTCTTAGTTATTTGTGTATATTTTGGAACTGGGTGAATAAGTTTCATCATGAGAAAAAAACATATTTCAAAAGAAAATGAACACAAGTATTGCAATATGTGGAATATGATTCATAAAGTTAGTGTGGACATTTTACAGAATTTTAAGTACTGGTCTATTATTTACTTTTCAGGGGAACGTCCTTACTTATGCATTGTGTGTGGGTCCACTTTCAAATTGTCCTGCACACTGAAAAAACATGCGAAAGTGCACACGAGAGAAGGCCCAGTGAAAGGAAAGGGAGGTAAGATTTCGACACACTGGTAATCAGGAAATAAATTTTATCAGGGTACCAGACAAGAATATGTCGTTTGCCATGGTTTCTCTGATTGTTGAGGTATGAGGAGCTTCTTTTCATTGCACTGAAATTTTAAGCATTTTGGGGCATCATTGGTGGTTCTGTCCGTTAAACTCGTGCTGTGACACGTTCAGAACAGATGTTCCTATCATTACTAATAAGAAATGCGTTTTTTAGTTACACTTTTTTTTCATAACCACAACTCGGATTCAACAAATTCTGAGGCATATCTCAGTAGAGCAGTGGAGTTCACTTAAAAACAAATATGGTTAATCCACAAACAATGTTAAACAGAAGGAAACCCTATTTTCAAGCAACCTCTCTAAATTGAAAACTCAACTGTCCTGCAGATTTCCGTGTGAGCAGATTGCTCTATATTTGTATTATAAGGCTATTGACACAATTTGATTTTTTAAGTGGCACCTGACTTCCTCTGTCCCCCAGCCAGGACGAGACAGACACCAGCTTTGCCCCAGGCTGCTGAGATGTCGGCTACAACCCTCCCAGACCCAGCAGTCAGCAAAGCCGAGATCACTGCCACATTGCCTGCAACAGCAGCTGCACCTCTTCCTTTACCACTTCAGCAGCAGCAGCAACAACAAGAACAACAACAACAACAACCATTGCAACCATCAGAACCACAGTTACAGCAACTACAGCTACCGCAGCAACCACAACCTCTACCACAATCCCACCAAATCATCATCAATCACCGCAGGGAACCCTCATCCACTTTACTGCTGACCACTCCCACCCTCAAGCAGACGGTGGCAACCCTCATCCAAACCGACAGTGCCACCTTACTACAGGTAAGCCATGCCACCTAACTGCATGATGTAAGCAATGCCACGTGGCTTCCTAACTAAAGACAGTCTCAGCCACATAACTACAGGTAAGCTCTGCTACCTTAACTCTTTATCTCCGAGGTGGGGAAACCCACTATGCCTGGGCCCTTTTTTGGTGCGAAATCTAAAAATAACATAAACGTCATTAAATGGGTCACTAAATTGAAACTAGCAAACCTATTTTGATAGTTCTTCATCTAATGAATGAACTTCCGGTATAAGAGACCTGTTTTCGGCAATTGCTGAAAAGTAATTTGATGTCGAAGTCTTCGTAAAGGAATGTGCTCACTGGCATTAAAGTGGTTCCGACTGCGAGCCGCTTGCCGGAGATAAAGAGTTGATATAGGTAAAGTATGCCACATTACTACAGGTAATTCGTGCCACTTAAGTACCTAACAACAGGTATGCCATGCCACTTTACAGTTTTACTACAGGTAAGCCATGTCACCTAACTATAGGAAAACCATGCCACCATACTACCTGACTACAGGTAAGCACTGTGCCACTTAATTACATGTAAGCCAATTCCCAGCTTGGGTGCTTTGAATTTGACTTGGACCCATGGTAGGCTATAGATGATTCACCAAACTTATGAGCCACCCTGGCAGGGGCATTATAAGAGTCAACAAAAAGACTCAGCGGCTGATAGGTAGGACATGTGAAAGAGAAAAGCCTCAATTTTTTTTCTTTTCAAAAACCCATTGTAAGTCCAGTAGTTTACGCACCTTTATCTGTATGGGAGTTGATTAAGTTCTTGAGCAAAAAATAAAAAATTAGTAGAAATAGGCAGACTTGTACTGTTTTATTTAATCCAGGTTGAACGCTGCTTAATTATATTAATATATTACAGCACCTCGAGAGAGCTGGAGGCAGCCTGCAGCCACAACTGCATCAGCAGCAACAACAACAACAACAACAACAGCTGCAGCAGCAACAACATGATATTGCAGACCTCCAGAACATGGATACCATCGCCCTGCCCGCCAACATCCTACACATGAGAGACACCAATGCAACCACCACCCTCATGGACCTCAGAGACACTACTGGTATTGCAGCTGTCAGAACCTTCTTGACCACAAATGAACTGGACATGAGAGAGGTTCCTCGAACACTGGCCACTGCACAACTGGACAATAGCAGAGATGCATCCAGAAATGTTATGGACATGAGGGCAGGCCCGTCTTCAGCCACCACGCTTCAGTACAACCCCAACGCCACCTTCCCAAGTTACTACTATTATCAGTGAGAGAGAGAGAGAGAGAAATAGAGAGAGGGAGAGGGAAAGGGAGAGGCAGGGAGGGGGGGGGGGCAGTGACCATATTATAATACCTGTTGTCTTTTCTTAATCCCTTGACTGCTAACCACTTGCAGAAGAGGCCAAATCTTTATTCAACGGTTTTTCGGTTATTATTTCAAGAGACAGAATGGTAAAACTTGTACCAATAGAAAGAGAATTGAAGAGATGAATTCATCCATTGACAAGACCATACTAAGACTGAACAAGCGCTCTGGTTCTGCGCGTTTGCTCTGTATGCTGGAAGTGGGGGAGAAAGACAGCGCATTAATATATTATATAAGTATTATTGGTAACAAAGTTCCGGCTACTCATCAAACAATATATCAATAGAAAGAGAAATGAAGAGGTGGCTTTATTCATAGACAAGACAGGGGTAGAATAAGCCATAATGATGTAACAAGTATAAAGTACTTAGACTGAACAAGTGCTTCGAGTCGGACATGTCGACTCAATCTCACACGATGTGTGTTAGAAGAAACAACACATGTCACACTAGAATTCATTCTTCCGGCCCAGTAGATATGACCTCACTGCTAAAATTAAATTATTAATTTTCCAGGGATATCACTTCAAAACCTAGTAGAAGCTGAGTTATCAATGAAACAAGACTCGGATATCAGCCACCATACGGGATACGTTTACCGAGCACTGAGACACGTCTACAGCTCAGTCAAGGGGTTAAGATGTCATCATCACTCTACTATGAACTAACTTAATCAACTTCTTATTGTGAAGCACAGGTCTGACGTACATTAAACTTTTTTCAGATATGCAGAGTGGCATATTATGACTCAACAAGTGTCTTATCTAATTTATATATGCATGTAGATTCTCTTGTGAAAATATTGACATGGAATCATTTGTACATTAAAATGGTAAAATGCAAACAAATATGAGTACTTAATCAAAATCTTAATTGTTAACTTGTGTTTCTTGTATGCTGTGAATTCTAATTTTGTAACAGTATAATAAATTCAATTCAGCAATTTTTGCTTCTGTATTTACTGTGCTTGTTTATATTTTATCAATGTTCTTCTTAGGCTAGTGGCTTCACCACTGCGATTAATTTATAAAAGCCATTGTCTGGTACCTTTGTAATTGCATTCAGCCCATCACATCTTTCACGGTAAATAGAATTAAAGAAGGATGAAAAGAAAAGAAAGATACTTTAGCACTTCACATATTTCAAGGTAAACAGAATCAAAAGGGAAGAAAGGAAAAGAAAAGAGAGATACAATAGATAAGTTAGTTCTAGAGGCAGGGTGAAAGAAATAGTTCAAACCATTGACTCTTAATTTAATACAGAGGAGCTATAGAACCAAACTTTCAGCCTTGCTTGGTCAGCTTGAACAAAATCTGTCTTCTGGCAGTACCTTTACACATGTCACACATCCCCACTAAATCAAACAGTAGAGTACAGTAGTCTCCGCCTAAACACATGGTGCCCAGGAGCACTTTTAAGCTTGCATTTACACGTAGTGTGCGCTGATGCGAACCAATGCAAAGGTGAAAGGGACACCATTTCATGTCCTTGATATTTTAATGACTACTGTTACTTCTCGGGGGGGGGGGGGGGGGCTCTCACCGAAGTACAAAACATGACTTTGTCTATTGATTATATAGGATTTCCGGATTGCAGTTATGTCTACAAAGATGTTGAATAAGCGGTGGAAAAAAGCAGAAAGATCGACTTGCCATACTGCGAGGAACAGATCAAAGGAAACTGTTGACAGTAATAGTCATCTAAGGAACTTGCACTGGGCCTTTACTATACATTACAGTCACCCCAAAAATCCAGTGAGAAACCTGTCAAAGACGTGTTTCGAGTGACCAATCAAAAGACATTTCAATCACCCCACTGAAACACATCCCTCACCCAGTCCCATGTGTCTGTAGGATGTGAACATGTTGTCCATCACTTTCATTATACTGTGTGAAGAGCAAGCTCGCCAAAAAATCTGATTGTCTGGACTACTAGACTCGTCTTCGATACCATGATGCATGCTGTTTTAGGTTGTTGCAAAAATTTTTCCTTGTATTGCTTTAACACTTACAGTACTGTCGGCAACTTAAGTCGCTAGCAGGTTGTAGTATGTGCTCACTACCGCTGGCGACTTTAATCGCCAACGCAACCAGGCACGCTAAACATATTAAACAATGAATGAACGAAATGCACTGAAGTAAATGCCAAAAGGAAGTCACTCTATACTATATGATAGCTGAATAGATGATGAACCTCTATGAATTTAAAAAGTGTATTTCTTGGGCTGGTAAGGTTTTTTTAATAAAAAAAAAAAAATCTACCACGGTTTCAGCGTTCTAAACTGGTGTGGTAGCCTACTTGAGGGTTTTTCACTATGAGTCTTCGGTACTGTAAGTGTCGACTATCGGAGTGTTTGGGGATCAAAGCATGTATTTAGAGGAAGTGATCATGCATCTGTACATTTAACTTAAACTGTAAAAAAAACCCAACCTCATACTACGACTTTGCCATGGTTTGTGTTGAGGCGATTACTGTACTGTTTCAAAGACTGAAATTGAAGAGGATGCCATGTTTGGTGTGACGTTTTGAGATTGTGCTTGTCAAAAAAGTCTGGCTAGATAAAAGTGCTAGAGAAGGGAGTGAAGCTACTCACCAGCTTGCTCCAGCTGTAGGTTACGTTTTCGAAGTCGGTATGGCGTACTCGATTCCATACGCTTGTGGTCCCGAGGTGCAGCTTCCCCGATTGCTGTTCTGGCAGGAGAGGCTTCTGGGAAGATAAACCAAATTTATTACATGCTCTAAGAGAACATAGAAATTAAAGCTTTAAAAACTGTGAAATGCGTCAAAGGAAGAATATGAAAATCATAAAATGCTACAAAAATTGAAGGATTGTATTAAAAAAAGCATCACTCACATTATAAAAAAAACTGCCATGAGTCTATTGTTGAAGTTTAATACATTTCCGGACATAGATAAATTACAATTAAAATTGTCCACGAGGGCCACTTTTATTTTCAAGGAGAAAACTGGATGTCCCAGACGGGTGGATGTCTTGGAGAGTGCCATTATAATAACCCTCCCCAAAAACATGGAAGTGGAAAGTGGCCATTTGTACAGGCAATTGTCTAGGTCAGCTGGCTGTGATATCAGGTTTGATGGTATTTTGAAGGCTGTTTGTGTTTCCCAGCACGACACTCGGCTTCGAGGAAATAATTCAGGAAGGATGAGAAGATTCATTCATCATTCAGACACCACCAGATCAAACCCCTAAACTTCTGCGTAATGATTAAGTCTTTGCTGGGGCTGCCACAACATAAAAAGTAGGTTGTGACAACTAGTGAAGGAAAAACAGTTCATTAGAGATGCACAACTTCTGACTTTTCAAAAAGCAAAAATGACTCAAGTGCTCGCGCTGAGCAGAAAGTATTTTACAATACAAAAAAAACAACAACCCCAAACCAACCCAACCCCCAAAAACCCCTTTTCCCACTCACTTTCAAGAATGTATTTAATACAGTTGAAACTTTCAAAGACGGCCACCCATTGTGACTGTCGAGGACAAAGTGTTATTATTATGAAAAAAAACCCACACTCGTAGGAGGTAATAAAAAGTGGCTGTTCATAAGGTAATTGGCTTATACAGTTGGCTGTTACACTGTTAGTGCAGGTTCAACTGTATGTTTTTTGGTTCTGATTGGCACCTATGGAGAAGGCAGGGGCACAGCAATCTGTGATGCTTATCACAATATAAATATAAATCTTCAAAATTGTTCTGGCAAATTTAATAAAGTCTATACCAAATTTAACAAGAGAGTTTACAAGTTCAATCTCACCTGCAGCAGACTGTTGTTTTTCTGTGACCCTCTGTGATCGTGGGGGTGTTTTCGACGGCAGAACACCATCAGTGGGTGTACTTTTTGCACTCTTGGATCCCCGGCCCGGTGTTTTCTTCCCTGGAGTTCTCGGAGAAACACAGTCCTCAGCTGTAGCAAGGGAAGAGACCAAGTCACAGTTGAGAAAATATTGCTGCATTTTCAATTCATACTTTTAGAATTTTGTTTTTAATGAAATGTACCTGTCTAATAAACACAATAGAAGTCCTCACAATGCAGGAGCCTACACTGAGGCAGCTGACAAGACACCAGGAAATATTCCAGAAAGATCAAGACCTGTACCAAATCCAAACCCTGGACTTTTGCTCTTTGTACTTGGATGCTACTAATTGCATCACAGAAACCTCGAAGCTTTTCAACATGCTAGAAATGAGACACAGTTTATAAAAAAGAAAAGGATAATATTCTCAACAATTTTTTAACAGTTGCATGACTAAACAAACAAGATATATTCATCCTCAAATCTGTCTATCAAAACTGATGGTGGAAAAACAGCATAATTTTATATCATGATGAAGAACAGAATATGTGGTTTCAATATAGATTAAATAAAGAATAACTTACATTACAAGAATAATTCAAGTACAAACCTTTCATTACCATCTGGCCAGACTTTTTTTGCGTGCGGAATCTAAAAACCTCACCACCAAACATGGCATTCTCTTCAATTTCAGTCTCTGAAATAGAAAACCAGAAATAGATATAATATAATACAGTGGGTCTCAATTATAACAGTCTTAGTATTAACAACAGGATTCCGGCTACAGCAGGCTTATATCACATGATCCTCGAGTCCGCTCTCTCATACTCATAAGTTCATAACTCACAATGTACGGTAAAAGAATTCTTTTATAGTTTAGCTTTCCGATGGACATGGTCGGCTGCAACAGTAGTCCAGCCATTGTCAAAATCCAAAATAAGCAAACTGATAAGAAAGCAGAAAAAAGAAGAGAAACAATATCCATTATCACAAAATACACCTATGTGACCAACTGTTGATTACACGTTTTATGATGTCATAAGGTGTGTGAAGGGAAGGAGGGGGAAAGGTGGTTTCATTTTGGTGTTGATACACAAAAATATCGGATCACTGACTAAGCGTGACCTTGGCCTGACACCATATCATCACACTGCCTCCCAGTGGGGTGAAGAGACTTGTAACGGGAAAAAATTAAAGACAGAATAGATTAGAAAGTAGGCACCGGGCGCCAAATAAACTAAAAACTAACAAACCGCAGATCTGTTCCTTTTGAGGACTAAGGTAACTATTTGATTAAGAACAGTAGTAGAGCAAACTAAGTATGATATATCAGATATAGCTGGGCATTTCAAATAAATGATGTCTGGTCAATGAGTCCGGAAACCTACTCAGAAGAAACTACATGTAGTAAACTGGCGCAACCCATGATTAAGTGGGACTTACAGAGCAAGTATTCATGTATGGTTGGTGTGCATGTGTAAGGAGAAGGGAGGGGGGTATGAGTGTGAGGAGAGGGGGGAAGGAGGAGCGGAGGTTGGTTACATTTCAACAGATCATCCATACCCATTGGTTGCACACCATTTGGAATGCTCAGTTCAGCGTCCTCATCGCTGTCAGAGTCACCGTTATACTCTGTGGCAGTGTAGACAAGATCCTGACTAGAGGCTCCTGTTGTCAAACAGAAAATATAAATTTTTTTTCAGAAGTTGTTTCAGCAAGTAGAATAACTCCCACTGTGCATTTCATTTCCTGTATTCATTTCTCATACTCAAGACATCCACTACGACTAAAATATATACCTAAACAATAAAATGCAAAGAAAGTTCACAAAGAGAAAACAAAACAGAACAGCAGTGAGCAGAAGAGAAGGATCAAATGCCCTCTACAGGGAGTCCACTAAAGCAAGAAAGATGATTTAAAATATATGTAACATAATATCATACTCTCATTTTAATTATAATCAAACCGAAACCTCCCAACAAAACACCTTAGAAATCACTGGTCATTCAACCTATAGATCAGATGAAAAAGTGAAAGCATTCTACTCTGTCTAGATTGTTGTTAAACATGGTTGGTTTCTAAATCAACTCAAGCTACTGAACAATGATACATTAAGTTGCCTGGAGGTCTGTTTGTCCACATGTTGCCATAAATAAACATTAGGCCTAGCCTAGTAGAGAACGCCTAGCCCAGACCTGCCACTTTATGAAACCTCAAAATCAGGATCTCAGAGAGAAAAAATCAGGATTTGGTGAAAAAAAATCGGGATCAACAGCAAATCACCAAGGTGACTGCCAAAGCTGACTTAAAATTTTTCCAGGGGTGTCCATAAATTCCTTGGCTATATGCCCTCTGTGTGTCTTTGTCTGTTTGTGTGTGTGCCTGTGCGTGTGTGTGTGTGTGCACGCGTGCGTGCGTGGGTGTGTGCGAGCGTACGTGCGAGTTTTTTTGTTTTTTTTGGTAAATCCTGAAGCATCATGTCAAGCACTCTTAGTCCAAGTGTCTATACCCCCCCCCCCCACCCCTACCAATAAGTCCCAAAATGCATGAACTTAAGTTGACCCCGTCAACGGACGGTCCCCGACACGCAGAACTCACATGGCGATGATATGTCTCGTGACGCGAATGCGCGATTGAAACAATTTTACTAACGAGTCCGACTAACTGCACGTTCACACAAAACACTCGGATGAGCGACAGTCGTTCTACTTCTAGGATAACGACGGCGGCCGACCCACCAAATGTACCAACAAATCTCTTATCCCTCATAATGCGTTCAGACTAAAGCAACGACAACGGCCGTATGGTTGTCTTGTCAGCGCAGTTACATGTAGTTGTGTAAGGGTTAGAAAGACTGTCGCTCGTCTTAGTGTCTGATGTGATCGCGCAGTTACCAGACCTCGGACAAGGCTTGTTTTGAAAGTAACAGCGGAACTACGAATATTATCGATTATTTGTATGTCCCAAATTGTAACAGTTACCAGGCTATCATCGGAGAATTCTGAGTGCGGGCAAAGATCACACACAACTTGGGGCGAGTCAACTACTAAATGCGGCATCGACATTTCGGGAAATAGCGCTCCGAGTTCCTACTGACAAAAGGTTCAACGGGTGCTTCTCGTGATAAAGGAGAAGGTAGAGTAAGTTTTTAGAAAGATCCGGCACAACAGCAGACTGGGACAAAAAATCGGGATACACGCGCTCGAAATCGGGAAAACCGGGAGGATTGAGATTTGGGGCAAAAAATCGGGATATCCCGACTAAATCGGGATGAGTGGCAGGTCTGCTAGCACTACACCGCAATGCAACTTGTTCATCAAACAATAGGCCTACGCCTACAGGTACGGTATGTGTATCATTTGAACGAAACGACCTTTTTACACAGCATATGTGTATTTTGCACACCACTTCAATTTCCAGTAGCACTGACTTGACTGTGACTACAGCAGTTAGATGGCTATTCTCCGGCGTATAGTTGCACTTCTCCACAGCTTTCCATAGATCTTCCCTGTCGGCATGTTATTGTTATATGGACATTATGATGGTTGCAACTCATTGAAGTTTTCAGTGCCACAAGCGCCTTCTTGTACTTCTGGCGGTGACTGAGGGCTGTTGCCGCTTTTGGTGCTGTCACAGAAATTCCTCCTCAGTAAGTGGAGCTTTCATTGGGGAGGACTTCGCGCCTTAACGAACGACCACTATGCGATAGGGCTAGGGGTAGAGGCAAGGTTAGGGTTTGGGTTAAGTCTCTTCTTTATTGTGTTTGTTGGGGTGATCGCTTGTTACAAAAGTCCATCCTTTCATTGTGTAGTGGCTGCCATGGTGGAGTCTACCTCTTCTGATGGCCTGGTGAATCGCATTGTCAATCATGTGAAAGAAATCCCGACCCAGATGAATGTTTGAACTGTTTGTGTTAGGCCATATGTGCCGACAGGGGAGATGGAGAGCTGTGGAGCACTAACATGTGTAGCTATCAGCTAGATCTATATGAGACTTCCCTGACAATGAATGATGCACTGTTTCTCAGTGAGGCTAATTTGCTAATTGGGGGGGGGGGGGTGACTTGCTTACCGCTGTTTCGTCCTCTCCTCTTGACGCGAGTCAAATCATTCAAAGGCAGGATATGTTGAATAACAGCATCTTCGGAAACTTCAGTTATCCTTATTGATTTTTTCCGTTTTTCCTCCATAACAAAGTTTTTGGTTGTACCATGAGCAGTAGGCCTCCTCTGTCTCTTGTCAATGCCGGCACAGCTGCTATTTTGTTGTTGTCCCGCGAAATAAGAACTCGTTTGTTTCGGCAAGTAGCCCGGGTCTCAGGCCAAGACCGGACCCGAAACTCTTTCGCACAGAAAAACACTTACTATTAATTTGCTCGCTGGTGTTTGATGGTGCAAAACAAAAACAATTAGCAAGATATGATAACTTATAAAAAATTAGGTGTTTTCTGGGTTTTCAGGTCGATTGGTTATTCGATTCGTTGAGATGTGGAACAGATACATGTTTACTACAATTTAATTTTTAGATGAACATTTAAAAAAACACCGAAGCTAGAAAAGAACGACAGAACAATAACCAAGGGATACTACTCTTATAAAATTATGAACTGCGACCGAAGACGAAGAGTTGTGTTACTACTTTCACTTTCTCACTGACATTTAACAGGTTACAAGACCGTTTTTACGTTCTTGTGAATGTGTGATTGGCACTGATTGTGCTTCCGTCTGTAGAGATGAATGTTCTCCGGCCTTTGTCATGCCTACTTCCAGACTCAGGTTATTCTTAATTATTTTTTTTAAGTTTGTTTTCAGAATCATCAAGGTTACGCCTGATCTGTGGCTGTGGCTGTGGTGGTGATCTCATAAGTGAGAATAGCATGGCCCTTTGTCTCGCTATTCTCACCCCCCTCGGGTGTGCTAACGTACAGTAGGCCTATAGCACAGACACGAACAGAACAGCACAGAGTTTGACTGTAACTTATTAGAGTTGGAAGTGTTGTTCTCACCAGCCTATGGCCCTTTGTCTCGCTATTCTCACCCCCCCCGGGTGTGCTAACGTACAGTAGGCCTCTAGTCTATAGCACAGACACACACAGAACAGCACTTATAAGTTGTAGAGATAAGTTTCAGGTTTAGTTAATTTAATGGGCTGGGTGAAGGCCATTTCACACCATGAATGAACAGCAAACAACAGTGAAGAAAAAGCACACACACGCAAAAAACACAAAATGTTGAGAGCAGAACGCAGCTGATACATACACGGGTCCTCACAATTATAGATCTAGATCTAGATGTAGCCTAATTTTAAGAATGAAGTGGCTACAGCTAGCCTGCCAGTTTAGCTGTATTTCGATCTAGGTTAGGCCCTATTGATCGAACGGAGTGTCTACACGTACACGGTAACTGGGCACCTAGTCTCAGTATCTACGTACACGGTAACCGGACACCTAGTCTCACCTAGTCTTTGTATCTACGTACACGGTAACGGGAATGAAAATAAATCAATATTTGTCCTGTGCTGTCACTTGCTGAAAAAAAAAGAAAGTCTTACAGTAGTCTCCGCCTAAACGCACGCCATACAAAAGCACACTCCGCTCAAACGCACGCTTCCTTCATCTGACGGGTTTTTTACTCTATAATTAAGACGTACAAACGCACGGTCACTCCCTCTAAACGCACGCTCCGATCTGCGAAACACACCGACAGGTAAAGCTTGACAAGGAAATTTTCACTACAACCTGTATAAGACAAGCCTAAGAAAGAGTGATAGACAGCGTTTTCACTTCCAACTTTCCACAGAGACACATAGATCTAGGTCTGGTCGGTGAAATGTTGGGGGGGGGGGATTGGGGGGACTGAAATGTTTTTAATAGGTCACTGGAAATGTATGTATCTTTGAGAGAAGGTTTGACTGGTGTTTGAGTGACTGCATGTAATGTTTAGTTAGATCTAGGCCTGATGCACGATACGCGTAAATGCCGTAAAGCACTAGAATCTAGATCTAGACAGGATTTAAGATTAAGTAAGCCTAATCAGCTGCGCTCAAAGAACTTATAACGTACTTGTTCAACGAATCGCAAGAGAAATGTTTCTCTGAATGTAGAGAATGATTCTGCATGAATTTACGGTCGGGGGTGGTCGCTTGGAAAGCCACGTGGCTGGGCTGTCGTCTCTATGACTATCGCCAACAGTTTCCTCTTACGCTATCTGTTCCCGAGGTTTATTGTGCATAATAATATAATTTATTACGAGTCTGTCTCTCCCCCCCCACCCCTCCCCCATTGAACGCCTTTGTATTCCTAACCCCAGTTGGGGAATCTTTAACAAAACAGTCACGTGCCGTCACGTTATCTGCCAAAATGACCCACTCCCTCCAAGGGAGGTCACTGGAGTTAATAAGGAGTTGAGATGACCACATCCCTTCCTCCCCTTGCAAAGGTTCATGTAAACGCACGCTCCGTGTAAACACACGCTAAGGAGCCCTCCTGAGCACCATGCGTTTAGGCGGAGACTACTGTACAAGTGTCTTGCTGGGCTCGCCATCATGACAGGTCAGTGAGCCTGTGCGTGTGACACATTGTGAGTACCGGTTGGGGTCACCAAAGTTCTTTCAAAGTCTGTGCGCTGCGAAGTATAGGGCTCCGGAATGTGGGGGGAGAGATCATTGATTTTTTTTAAAGGTACAGTCGGGGGAGGGGTGGGAATGAAGGCAACACTGGATGACAGAAACTGAACTTGGAGTTCTGAACTGCCCGGTTACTGTGTACGTGACACAAGAGAGTATTTAATTATAATTTATATAGTCTCTGGTGAAACTGAGACTACATGCCCGGTAGCCGGTTACCGTGTACGTAGATATTGAGGCTACATGCCTGGTTACCGTGTACATGACACTGAGATTACGTGACCGGTTGCCGGTTACCGTGTACGTAGACACTGAGGCTATTTGCCTGGTTACCGTGTACGTAGACACTCCGCTGATCGAAACCTGTTGAGTACACAGGTCTCATTAGATCTAGTAATTATCCAGGTTTAAAATACATGCATGTCAGTCAGGCACCTTTTGGTTTCGTCTGAATACAAATACTTTAGGTATATATTGCAAACTAAAATTTTATTTACAATTCAACCATCATTATTAAGTACGGCTAGCCTTTAGCTGTCCAGCCGTACTTTTCGCCTGCCATTTTAACCGTACTTATTTTAGGCCTTATTTGAAACTTGTTGAGTACACAGGTCTATTCAGGTTTAAAATACATACTGTCAGTGTCAGTAAAGCACCTTTTGGTTTTGTCTCAAATACAAATACTTTAGGTATTGAAACTAAAAATTTATTTACCATTCAGTAGGCCTAAATTTTGCTGTTTGTCAGTCTAGCCATCATTATTAAGTACCCTAGCAGTCTAGCTGTCATTATGGCTAGCCTCTTCCAGATCATTAAGGCTCGCCTCAAGCTCACATCGGGGTGAGGGTGAGAATAACGGGTCATGAGCTATTCTCACCAGGGGTGAGAATATAAGTGGCCTATAACTAAAATACTAAAACTTGCCACTCTTTTGCAGTCACACGTACCCTTCCCAACGGCCTGCAATACAGCCTACACTGTCTTCAGTACTTATCTTTTATCACGTCTTACAGTTTACAGTTAAAGCGTCTGGACATAATAATAGATGAAATGTAGTGTAGGGCCTGGACAAGGGTAGGTCTCTATCCTGAACTGTCTCATTTCTTGAGTAATCCAGTTTTGGCCCCAATGATAACTAGATCTATGGAGTGTGGGTTTTGGCTTCACAGATGGTTACTTCTAGTTCTAAACGATTACTTTTTGATGCGCGTGTCGATATGATGTTTGACGCTCAGCGACCTAATTGAATTGCAAAACATCAAATTATGGTTAAATTCAATTCCCGAAACCCCCGATGTTTTTCTAAGGTCGGGGGGGGGTTAAGAACATGGGAAATACTACTGCTCATTTTGAACTGAAAAATAGCAGCGCCTCCCTTGCTTTCTCGCTAAAACATCGATACCCAGCATTTGAGTCAGTATCGATATCCAGCACTCTCAGGGCCAAAACCAGAGAATGTCAGAAAAACAAGCGTTAACGTCTGCAGACGCTGCAGGCTGTTGTGAATTGGTGAATTAAGTGAAAAGATTTTACATTTTGTCGGATGAGAATGAAATTTTCTAGAAGGGAAAGATCAGTGAGAAGGAGGTTAATGTCTTTTGACTTTGGACAAAGAAATAGAAATCACCAACACTGTGTTTAAATGAACATTAAAATTCTTATTGTAAAGAGTGCCATAAAATCACTGTGAAAGAAATTGGATTGAGTCTTTGAACGACAGCAAATTTATGGAGCTGATAGTTTCACAGCCTATTGGTAATGATTTAGTATTTGAGAGAGAGAGAGAGAGAGAGAGAGAGAGAGAGAGAGAGAGAGAGAGAGAGGAGGGGAGAGGGAGAGAGAGAGAGGAGGAAAGAGAGAGAGAGAGAGAGAGATGGCTGGGTGGGTGGGTGAATGTTATTTTCTACTTTCTTCCAAAGTTTGGCAATTAAATCTTCTTCAAACAGGCTTTTTTAGTTCTGAATAAAAGATGGGTCAATGAAGTTTGATCATTTTACTTTGACTTTTATACCAAAATTGCTTTAGTAATAGAGTAGCATTTTTAAACGTATGTGGGTGTTAACAAGTGATAGGATGGCCGTGGCCGAGGAACATGGCAAAGAAGACCTTGAATAGCAAACCAACCACACCTGGGGAACATTGTTGGTGTCTGGCACTGGAACAGTGATGGGAAATTGACTAGTCTTGGCTTTAAAGATAGAATCACCTCTGCAAGACTGCTGCATCATTTGATCAAGCACACAGTAAACCTTCAGCCATAGTTGGCACCTGTACTTTATTCATTCCAGTTATTTTATCTTTAGTTTTGAAATATGAATATATACATATAATATGTTAACTTTTTCAGGCACAAAATTGGCCCTTATTATTCTCAACCGACCCCTTGATGTGCCACTGTTGACAGCATTGTGGAAGAAAAGTATGTCCTTGTTTTCTATTTTTTAATATGTTTATGGTTATGTATTATAATTATTAACTTAAACGCTTAAATTAAGAGCTGTGTGGGCTCTTCTTGTGGTGTAGAGGTATGGTGTTCTCCTCTCAGCCAGAAGTTCCCTGGGCCAAATCCTGCCATCGATGAAAAAATGTTCTTCCTTAGAACTTTCTTCTTTGTTTTCCTTTCCCATTCTTCAGTCTTGTTCTGTTATCTGTTTTCCTCACCACTTTCTCTCCCCACCCCCATCGGACTTTCTTCTTTTCTCTCCCTTACTCCTGACTGTTTCTACTGCTACTCCTGGCTCCTTCCTACTGCTGTTTTCCAGCCACACCTTTGATATTAGGGTAAGATGGAACAGGTGAATGCCAAGATGAAGAAGCAAGAGCAGCTACGATATCTTTTTTGCTTTTCCAGACATGTAGTCTGTGATATTTTGCACCAACTTTTCTCATTTTAAAGCACAGGGTCTTGCCTATTAACTCGTGATAAGCAAGAAAGAAATACTCATGACTGTCGAGCATATATAACTCAAATATTTCAGGGATTGACAAATGTGGTAGACACATCCATAATTTGAATTAACCAATAACGAAAAATTAAAGAGATGTCAGTCGGGGAATGACAGATTGTACCAGCTATCCGTGATTTTGAGTGTCCTTTGTTCATGCTATCCGTGCCTGTCTATTGATGTTCTGGTATCATGATCCAGAGATAGTCCAAGGTTTTTTAAAGTAGGCCTAATAATGTCTTTGCATTTGGTCTCATGAACATGGAAATTGCTTTTTTGACTTGTGGTAAATTTTGTGTGATATGGTTGTGTTTTATATTGATTTTTGCTTTTACAGTGTTTGTATAGACCTTAACAGAAATGTCTCCTCCCTAACTGACATCTGTGGTGAACGTTAGGCTCTTTGCCGTCACTCCCAGAAGGCTTGAGTTTGATTCCCATGTGGGGAGTATCTCTTTGGCAAGCTGTTCTATTGTTTAAAGCTGAGGAAATAGTCTTCCAGGAGAGATAAAAACTGTTTCATTCCTCTAAAAAATTGGACACCTACATTATGTATTTTTTCTTACTGTTACTTTTTTTCAGTATTTAGAATCTAAATTTCAATTTTGAGGATTTTCTTCGATTTAGCTAGGTTTTCTGTTTACGTAATAATAATAATAATGTAGATCATTTCTATAGCGCCCCCTCCCATGTGAACACAGCTATTGGCGCTTTACATAAATGCATTTACGAACAATATTCGCCCACGAACACACACACTCACACACACAGACACTCATGCACACATTACATGCACACGCATCCGCAATATGCATGCCAGACTCAAACACGCTCGCGTGCACACACACACACACACACACACACACATCTACTTGCTTATCACACGCGCACGCTTACACATTGTTACGAAATGAGCACATACAAACATACTTACTTACTTACTACCCATTACGCCATCTGGCGTTTAGGGCAGCAACAAAGGATCTCCAGCTCTGTCTGTTTTTGGCCATCTTGGTCAGCGTCCCCCATGAATGATTCCAGGACTTCATTTCAGACTCCACCGTGCGTCTCCAGGTCACTTTAGGTCTGCCCCTTTTGCAACGTCCTTCGGGTGTCCAGTGGAGGGCAGCCTTCACAATAGAGTCTGGTTCTTTTCTCAGAACATGCCCAGTCCATCTCCATCTTCTCCTTTTTATGTAATAGAATAATATACACATTGCAATTCGCATAATACATAAGTGGATACATAGTCATTTACATAACATTGTACCGAACATGAATCTACTAATATGAAAAGGATGTCATTAAATGTGTCTTTAAAGCTGCCCAAATTGAAGGATAAAATGGGGAGATATTATTTTTTTTTCTGTTTACTGCCATTATTAGATTATCTGTACTGTTCAGTTTAATTTTAAATGGACTCCATTGTACTTTACCACACATTTTTTGGGGGGATGGGGGGTGGAGGATCCACCAACTGGTTAGCCCAACTTGTTTCCCATCCCACTTTCCTTTGACTTTGAGTCTATCGTCTTCCTTTTCCCTGAACAATCAAAAGTCATGAGCGGCTAGTGTGTTTGAATGCGTAATTTTGACTCAAACTGGAAGTTTTGTTTTCGGGACAGGCGCCTTCACGGCAGTGACGGATGGCGCAGTGAACAGATTGCTAAAGAATTGTGGGGATCAGAAGGATGAATTTATCCCCGATGTCATCTCTGGTGACTTTGACTCTGCCCTTCCTGCCAGTCTTGACTATTACCGCAATTGGGTGAGAAAATGTCAACAAATATTCTTTTCTAGTCTAGTACTCAAACTTAAAGGAATTCTTTAAAAATAGGGATTTTTCAATACTGAAAAGGGATTTCAAAAAGAGGACTTGTTTTAGTACTGAAAGGGATTCAAGAGGACTTTTACTTTTAGTACTAAAGAGATAATTTAAAAGAGGATTTTCTAGTATTGAAAGGGATGCTTAAAATATCAGTTTTTGTTAAAGTACTTTAGGTCCTCCCTGAAAGATCTCACAGCCTATGGTTTGTCTTCCATTTCCAGGCACAGCTTGTCATGATAAATAATTCTACTTGTAAGCTTTTGTCCTTATACAGAATGTGGAGATCTTGCCGACCCCCGACCAGAACGAGACCGACTTCACTAAGTGTCTCCGGATTGTGTGTGAGAAAACCGGACAAATTCCAGTGGGTCATGTTTTGTCACATTAAATACATGTGTTGCTTGTTTTTCCTTTACTCATACTGTTGTTTGTATAGAATGTGGGAGTGTCAGCTACTTTGTATTATTTCATAGCCTTTTGCAACTCACTCCTCATAAACAGAACTAATGAAGAATTTGCGAAAACTCAAAGACTCTTGAACCAAGCTTTTGAGAGTTGTTCTCAATTGATCTATTAAATAACCCACAACACCATTGCTTTTATATCCACATTTTCTTCCTGTTTAAGCCTGTATTGATTACAAAATACCCCCCCCTCCCCCCTGACTAACCCATTCACACACATACACACATACACAAAAAACAATTTTCTGTTCTATTCAGTTTTCTAAAAAGTGTTATGTTGATGAAAAAAAATTACATTTTGAAATCACAAGAGGCTGGATCATTTGAGAAGACACCAAATTGTTGTATGAAATGTCTCAACATGCATTGTACTTGTTGAGTTAATTTAATATTTTTTTAAAAACTTCTCCTTTTAAGATTTATAACTGTACAAAGCATCCACAGAAAGTCAAGTATGCATTAGGAATTCCCATTTGCTTTTACCTGTGCAGCTGTGAAGCTACACTGAACAAAATTATTTTTTTTAAGTTAGTAAAAGTGGAATAAGAAACCAATTACCATACTCTATTCGGGAGTACTTTATAACGATATATAGTGATCAAAATTTATAATTTGATCATTTCTCAAGTTCAAAACGATGAAAATCTGGCTCCATCATGTTCTTAAGAATGTTGAATTCTACCTTTATTCAAGTTTTGGAGGTCTGAAAAGGTTGTTGTTTCTTCTAAAAAGTGATGCAAAGATTAAGCCACCAGAAATATAACATAATATAGTATAGATTACTTCTCCATTTTCCTTCTAAGGCTTGTATGTGCCGTTGTTTATGAACACTTGACTGACATGGATTTCGTTTATGTCGTTAAAATGTTGAGTTTCAAGTGCGAATGTATGATGTGTGCCAGTCTGTTGGAACACTGAAAGCTCTCATTTTTATCATATTTATTGTAATTTTTGTGGGTGCCCTTGATGAATGAAAGGGAGGGTGGGTGAACATTTTTTAAAGAGGGAGTGTGTGTGTGGGGGGGGGAGAGAGAGAGAGAGAGAAAGAGAGAGAGAGAGAGAGAGAGAGAGAGAGAGAGAGAGGGGGGGGGGAATGAGAGAATGAGTTTCTTTGTGCTGCCTTGTCAAACACTAATGTTGCAATCAACTCTGTCCTTTTGAAGATAACTGACAGCGAATTTTTTTTTCTTTTGTATTTCTAAATGTTTTCAGTTGGAGCAAATTGTTGCTTTGGGGTCGTTTGGCGGACGTTTTGACCATACACTGGCTAATGTCAACACCCTGTACACAGCCCGCGGCCTCAGCAAAAAACCCACCATCCTCCTGTCTGAAGGTTCAATGGCCTGTTTGCTGGACAAGGTCAAGTGTGGTCAAATCTTTTCATTTACGTGTGCTTGCAATATGATTAATATTAATACCTAATTTTATCACTTCAGTCCAGTAAATGAAATATGTAAAATAAAAGTATAAGCTGATATATTCGATGACTTCTAATGTATATGTAAAATTTATTTTCTTCTCTTTAACTCAGTCCAAATTTTCTGTCCACAGGGTGAGCACACTATCTACTGTGACACAGGTCTGGAGGATGACTGGTGTGGTCTAGTGCCGGTAGGCCAGCCTGCCAACCTGGTGACCACCACCGGGCTCAAGTATAATCTGAGTGAGTCCTCAACGTTTCTCTGACAGTAGAGACAAACAGATTGTTTAGGAGGCCACAAATATTGAATGTCCATTTCTTAGACTTTAGATACAGTATATGTTTCTTAGACATTAAATGTATAGATCTATATTTCTTGTGTTGAGGCTTTTCTATAACTTTTTTGTTGTTTTCCGAAACTATTGGCCCTCTAGCAGTTTCCACCTCTTCGTGACGTAGATTTTAAAAAACCAACAACTTTTGCTGCACTCAGTTTTTGCTAGCCAGGACGGTGGGTAGTTTCCATCATTTGTGGTCTCTTTCAGAATCAGTCTGGTTACGATCATGACGATTTAACCAAAACTAGACACCCCTCTTGTATAATTTGCATAATCAAGTTCCAATCTATTATCTTCACATTCAATCAACCACACACACGCACATATGCTCACAAAAATAAACATAATTCACACTCCATATGGCCAAAGGCAGTGCCACATAGTCTGACTTCAATTACACCCCACCATTCAGCTCCAGCCCTCACAGGACTAGATTCAAATCCAAGAAAGATTTAGTGCTTTATGCATATAATGTTTGACTATGTAGCAGTGTGTGTATCATTCTTTTGGGGAGGGGGGGGGGGGAGCCTGATGGGCCATTTTATCTAATACTCTAAATAAGGCTGGGTATGTTGTTTCCCATTGTACAGGCAGGGCAATAAGAATTTGAGATGACAACAATTGTGTGGAAAAACTAGCTCTAGGTCAGGTTTTTTAGACGAGATATTTAATAAATCTAGGCTTGTATTTGAGAAAACAATGTTGCTAATACAAAGAATATATATGTGTCATGACAAGATGGAATCAAACACTTGTAAATTTTTTGGTATTTGGAGTTATTCACTTGTCTTGCATTTGGCGAAAAAAAATACCCACCTATCTTGAATAGAAGTCAAGATATTTGCGATTGAAGGAGGTGGGGGTCGCCTGGTGTAAAACTAGAGAGAAAATGGCCGCCAAAGTTTGGTGACTCCCAAAGCCTGAGTGTCTTTGGAAACTTCAAATTTACATGTTCTTTGCCTTCGAGCAATGTTTATCAATGTAAAGTCCACACAGAAATGTTTTCTTAAAGGGGTATAAAAGGTGTTGAGCCAAAAAAAGAACATTTAAAAAACTTTTCCCAACAGCCAGAAAAATGCCGGTTTCCTTGATTACACTATTTAACGAGCACTTGATTTCACCACGCTGCCTCACATATTATAGTTATTAAGTCAGAGAATGGCATATTATATGAGTCCTCAGTGATTTCAAGTTTGAGATGTTTGTGTTATCTGTTTCTGACTGTAAGTGGTTTCTTCCTCAGACAAGGACAGTATGAGGTTCGGAGAGCTCATCAGCACGTCCAACTCGCTGGCCAGCCCAACAGTGACCGTCTCAACTGACCAGCCTCTTCTGTGGGTCATGGGCTACAAGCAGGAATGAGAGGGCCAAGCTGCTGGACAAAAGTGTTCAGTGGACACACACACAAACACCCCTCCTTTTCCCTTAGTAATGATAGTAGATTACAAATATACATTTTATATAGCATATTTCCACGAGGAAAGTGCTCAGTGTGCTTTACAATAAAATAAAAAAACATAGTGATCCTTCCCCCCCCCCCTCTCTCTCTCTCTCTTCCCACTTCCTCTCTCTGGTTTAATTTGGATTACATTGAACAGGACAGTAAGAAAATTAAAGATAACAACTCTTCCCTCACCTCCCCTCTTCACATTAACTTTGCCTATCCACTTTGAATTGTTCTCAGTGCTGCCTAAGTTCCCATTTGAGGTAGATTCAGGGTAAATTTTTGTAACTTTGGCCTAAAATCAAATAGTACAGATAAAGAAGGGGACGAAAAGGATAAACTTTACCCAGGTACAAGTAGTTGCCATCAAGCAGAGCTAGCTTCTAGAAATATTATTAAGAAATTATACTTTATATATCTTATTTTATGTGTGTGCGAATATTGTGAAGGTGAGCAATGTTGATGATATGATATAACGTTTTTGTAAACATTTATAAACTTTGATTCTAATCTCGGTGCCCATTGTAAATTTGGTAGTTTAGGCACCTCCTTTAGTATGATGATTAAAGCAGGTCCAAAACTGGTACATACTGAAAAAATCGGTAGAAATAAGCAGCCCTGTGTACCATTAATAGTAAAAGTATTATCTTTGGCTGTTGGATGGGGTGGAAGGGGAGTACAGGAATAAGAGCGCTTTTTTTTACTCTCGTCTTTAAAATCTGTGATTTTGTTCTTGAGATCTTGTTACTCGCGTTTACCAAAACAATGGAAAGGACTTGTTACATAAGTCTACCATTGATTCAGTGCTCTCAGGAAGTTTCTATATTAAAAAAAAATATTATGCACCATTATGATGACGGGTTATTGCACTGTGTTGTAGGACAGACAAAAATTGCACCATGTTGCTCCACAGACAAACGCAATACAGGATAGGTCATCCACAACCCTCCAAATGGCTAGGGGGTTATTGAGAAGGTTTACTTTGTATGATGGTGTTTTTTGGGATACCGCACCACGAGTATTCTCTGGAATACACATTGTAATCTGAATGTTCTTTGGGAAGATTAGAATGGTACCCGGTATTTTTATTTCTTTTTTGTTTAATTGCATGTAGAATTTTATATTGAGGAATCACTTTTTTAGTTATGTAGACTAGATCAACTTACCATTAGTATCCAATACTGTATCTCATATTTTGTCACTCTGGCTCATTGAAAACTTATAATTAGTTGTCTCTGCCTAAACGTGCTCCATGCAAAAGCATGCTCTGCTCAAACACAGGCTTCATATGATGTTTTTTTTTAAACTTCATAATTTAGATGTACAAAAGGGCAGTCGCAACTTCCTCTTGCTAACACTTCGATCTGTGGAATGTGCACATTGGAAAAGCTTGACAAAGGGAAATCTTTGCAACAACCTGGACGGAGTGGGTGAGAAGAAAGACAAGTCCAGAGAACGCGATATTTGACAAGGTTTGTTCGATGAATCACGAGAGAAGTCTCTCAGAATGTCTGATATCATCCATGCATTTACCAAGTTATTATGGATGACTGGTAGTCGGGAGTGGTCACTTGGAAAGAGATGTTCCTGAGCGCTGTTCCCTATGACTGTCACCCACAATTTGCTTTATCTGTTTCTGACAGTATGGTGAATCAGTCTTTCTGCTTTTTTCCAACACTCATTCAACACCTTTGTCGACGTCATCCACGACTTGGGAACCCTTTATGACCAACATTCAAGTTTCCATTTCGTTACATTATTGGTGAAAGCGCCCGTTCCCCTCACCCTAAAGAGAGGTAATATGTAGAGTCCACGCTCAATCGCGAAAATCTCGAATTCTCGGGTATCTCGAACATAATGCTCTGTCCCGTTTCTCTCCCTATGTTTTCTTTGTGTCGACTTCATGGAGTTTCCGAACACGCAACATTTGCAACACTCGAATCTTGAACAAAACCACTTCGCATTCTCAACTAAAGACCTTGCTTTACAGCCTTTCTGGCTGAGGGTAGGTGTTTCTTTGTTACCGTTACAGCCAAAACGTGGTCCTTGTCTCACCACGAGAGGCTAGAGAAAGAGGGGATTTGGAAGGGGAGGGCTGGGAAGTGATGCTGACTGTACCACATGACTGGCTCACCAGGCATGCAATCATGCTGTGGAACGCACGTGGTGCGGATGGCGAGAGGCCAAACTTTCTGTAAGCCAATGAAATGAGAGGAAAGGAATGACGTAGGAGTCTGCTGTGCACACGTGAGATTTTCTGCTTTCCACTTTCATTCATCTTTTTCCTTTCACACTGTCGACACGTTCATCAGGTGAGCTAACCTCGTTCATGGTTTTAATGTTCTTTTTTACCTCCCTTGATTTTCTATTTCTTTGTAATTGGGGCTTTCACAGACGTGGACATGACGAATTATGGAAATCTCGAACACTATTTCCAATCCCCGTCAAATTTGGGTTACCCGTGTTGGACTGTAGTTATCTCTACTATATCAAGGAAATGAGACGGTTCAGGTGTCCTTGTTCCCTCTTAGTCTTAGCAAGGTTTCACAGAAACACAAGTTCCGTGTAAACATATGCTTAGGAGCCCTCCTGAGCACAGTGCAGTTAGGGAGAGACTGCTGTATTCTGCAAAGCTAAAGACTGAAAGAGTCTGAGCTTTCCTTATATTCAATTCTTTTTCCCAAAATATTCACTTAATCTTTTCAACTACCATATTATTGATTTGAGAAATTACTCACTGATTGTCAGTATTTTATTGGGATTTCAGCTCCATTTCTCATTCTGATGTGACATTTTATTAAGTATAGCATAATTCAGATTCTGTTCCCATATTTTGATGCATTATGATATTTTTGCTTCATCATTTATCCACATAGTCAGAGCGTGCCATGCTTTTATTCCCGAAGAAAGTCGTCTTTAGGTACTGTTGTACCATTGCATATTGATACCATTTTACCTAATCTACTTGAGAAAGATGATAACCCTATTGAGGCGGTACTCCTGTACATGTGTGTGTTTGTGTGTGTGTATGTTTGTGTGTGTGTGCGTGTGTGTGTGCGTGTGTGTTCTCCAAAGGCAAGTACTCTCACTGATATATATATATGTATGCATAGTTTTGCTTATAACATTATATAAAATAGGCGCTAGAAATAGAGGCTTCAAGAATGACCTCATAAAGTACTGTTAGGATTTTTATCTAAGGCTTCAGAAATTATTACAGTGGAGTCTGCCTGAATTGAAATCTGTGGAACCATCGGATTTTCTTCTGTTCAGCTGGGTTTTCACCCTGGAGAGGTTGCTCAAATCGACAGAAAAAAAAAAATAGGGGATTTTATTTTCCTTCCGTGTACAGCTTATTCGGATTAACTGTGTTCAGGTTAAGCAGACTCCACTATACTTCATCTTGAAGTTTGCACAAAATTGCTAATACTAATTTGTATTTTATGTATATATATACTTATATACAGAAGAACACGGACAGGTCGAACACAGAAGACTCAAAATCATGCATCAGTCTAACTGTGCCTGCGGTCCCGGTTTTTTTTTTCTTCTTCATCTTTGTAAGATATCCTTCGAACTACGGATCCCTTGGACTACCGAGACCCCGACAAATTCGAGCTATTTGTGTTATACTTCATATAAAGGCCTGCCACTGATTGTAAGCGGTGGACTTTGGCTCCATCGTCTCAGGTCTGGGGTTTGGGGAGTGTTATTGTTATTGAGTAGCACCGTTAGCGGGCAGGATGGTTGCAAAAATCACTTTCAATAAGTCAATTTATTGGTTCTTTCTCCTTATGTATTCAGAAGGCATGGTACAAAGGATGAGGGCAGTATGGTGCTAGAACAAAACTACAATGGAACATATTCTTTTGATGTATACTGGTATAGTATTTCAGGTTTTTTTATAAGAAATAGATCTAGCTTTTTTTTTTCTTAAAAAATTATCATTTTGCCCATTTTGTTTTCCACAAACGTTTTGAATTTGCAATTCGAGTTGTTTTGTATCCTGTGTTCCAATGCAGTAGTGTCCCTTTTAATATCTTATGAACAACTTGATTTTGCTAATTTCTTTAAAATTTAAAAATTGCGAATTCAAGTCACATGCAAAAAAACCTCCCCTGATTTATAGCTTATGTGTGTGGTCCCTTGCCATCTGTGCAGGAGCCTACAGCTAGTGTAGATGGTGAGGTGAAAACTTAGAAGACTCTAAGTTGTCCATGAGTATGAGTATGACTATTGAAAATCTGTGATTTGCCTGACAGTATTTGTACTGCAATTTTTTTTTTATCAGAGCAACATTTTTATATTTGACAAGTCTTTTTTATTTGATACAGTAGGCTACCTGTCTCTATAATTCTCATTTTTTTCAGTATGTGGACGCACTACGGAGTTTGTTTAAACCGTAGTCTGTGGAACTTTAAACTTTAAGATTTTCGTTGGTTTAGCTGGCTTTTTGGTGATTAGAAGCTGCTATTGAAAAAAACAAAATCAGGGATTTTACCTTTTGTGGCTTCATTTTACAACTTTTTCGGATTAACCATGCTCGATTTAAGCAGACTCCACAGTAATCAGTTAGACATATCATCTAAAATCATTTTGCTGTATGGGTTGAAGAACCAGCTGTCGACCGTGACCTAGTGGGGGAAACCGAGGAGAGTACAGTAACTTTGAGTAACACCGCAGTGGCCTTATGGTTAACCCTAGTGATGACATGTGGGTTTGATGAATGTGCTGAAAAAGTGAAATGTGTTGCTCAAAATTCTTGAAATGGAGCACTGGGTTTACTCAAACATGTTTGAGTGGATCAGAGTGTATGTATACTGTACTTATTCATCAAGCAGAGAGTCGGCATTATATATACGACAATCTATGACAATTTTTTGTTGTAATGATATTCAGAGGTCACCTCCATGCAATAAAACGTGATTTACATTTGTACAACTCCTTGCTTTTTTAAACAGGTGCATGTCAGTCTATTTTTTGTCTACATATTATACAATTTCTACTGAAAAATCAAACAGTTACGACTGCTTTTGAAAATGCAGCACGGCTACTTGAAAGGCAAACAGATTACATTCTTGCAGAAAAATAGACAACATTATGGAGATAGTACGTGTAAACCATCTGGTTCATGGTGGGTCAGAAAATTGACAGTCAACTTCCCTTGTGACCTAGCAGTGCAATAAAGAAGAAAATGACGACAAGCAAATGAGTTCGAAGTTCAAGCCAGAACTGACCTTGCCTGGGAGAGCACATAGTGCATATCCAATATGTGCCAAGTTTGATCACTTCACTGATGTGGAAAAATACAAACATCAATAAGAAGAAGTTGACAGAGGTGTTGACTCATTAGAACTTATTTTTGCCCTATACTACTACTATACTCTCGGACTTGATCCAGGTTTGGTTTGTTTGTTTTTTGGTTAGTGTGTTACGGCGCTTGCAACTGCATAAAAGTCAAATGAGCGCATGGGACACATTATTATAAAGTACTTTCAGTTTGGTAGGAATTAACTTTGAATTTTGCCTGATGGCGGAGGAAGCCTACTCCTTATTGAAAGTGAAGATGAAAGCAGACAAGAGAACATGCTATGAAAGCACAAAAGGTGAAAAGATACAATTTTTTTGAGAAAAAAATTTCCATCTTCAAGTTTCGAAGCCGGGACCAGCTGAATGAGAAGCGAACACTGTACTTCTAGACCACGAGTGTCCCTAATTCAGTTCATTCAAGAAACAGATGAAATGATGAATAAAAAAGAATTGGGGGAAATCCTTGACCATGATCATAGCAGTATATCACTACCTCAAAATTACAAAGTTCTATCTGCTCAGTAGCCTACCTAGTTTTGAGAAATTTGACATAAAAAATTTTGAGTTTCAAACTTTTAAAAATGCAATTATTCGAATATCTTGATAACGATTCGGAATAATCTTACAATTTTGATGGAGCAGATTGTCTACCCAAAATGCCCCAAAAATGTCAGATAGATGTTTTTGTAATTCTGAGGCAGCGATATGTCTAGATTGACTAAAAAAAACCCAACAACACTTATTTTGGACTGAGAGCGAAAACAACAACAATAAAATCAGCAGTATATTTCTGGATTGATAACAAAAAGGTCAGCAGTATATTTCTGAAACAATAACAGCAACGTTGTATTTATTTAATTAAGTAGATGTGTGATAGAGAAAAAAACCAACGACAAGTCAAATTAAAAATTGACATGGTTCCTAAGACTGTGTGTTTATTCAAATGGCAATGTGAATAGGAGGGTGAGGATGATGCAAACAAGCAACCAGTATAAAGTGGGTGGCATGTGGGTGTCACATCTCCCCACATTCTGATATGGTGACCGGGATCTTGGGCTTGTTGTTGGGGCCCACAGGAACGTTCTCTATCTTCCTCAACACTAGGTGGCCGTCCACGATTTTACCTGTGGAGACCGATGAATGTGGTTGTTGTGAATTACAATTCATTGTCAATATTCTAAGCCCCTGTCTGCAATACAGTGGAAACCTGATATAACAGGGATGGTGGGACCAGAGAAAAGGTCCTGTTATATCAGATCCTTGTTAAATCAGAATGCAAGGGAAGTAAACACTTGTGGACAAATCCAGCTATATTTATTCACAGGTAGTTTCCCTTGCCACAAGTACCTTGCGCATGACACATTACATGTGCGTGTAGCTTGGCTTAGGGCTGATTGAAGTCTGCAGCACACCGCAGCCCTCTCTCGCTTCACCCACTGCGTGTGCTTGCAGTGGCGTGCCCCATCACTGCGTTACTCTGTCTGTCTGTCTCTCTTTCTCTTACTTTTTACACATTGTTAATGAGGCTTTGTCCCTGCTATAACTGATTGGGCTACAATAAGGCCGTGTTATTGCTGATAACTTTTAATAGAGAGAAAAGTAGGAAAAAAACGGGGATTTAAATAATCAGTTATTACCAGATCCCTGTTATTACCGGGCCTGTTATATGATCACTTTTAAGCACAAGGGGGCTATCCCGAAAAATGCTGTTTTGAGAAAATCGAAGGAAAAGTTTTTGGGCCCTTGTTCAGTTTCTTTAAAAGACAAGGAGAGTTTTCTCTATAACCAAACTAATACACCAATGAAACCAAACTTCTCCTACAGGCAGGGCAATGTTCACTTTTGGTGTAGGTGTAGGTCAAGATTTCAGGAACCCCCCGAAATCTGGGTTAGCCCACTTGTCCTTAAAAGTGACCATATATATGGTTTTCACTGTACTTAGAATTTAGTTGACAGACTACAGACAACTTCAACCCTGCCTATCAGGGACAACCTAGATGACTTCCATCAGACAGATGGAGATACTCAGTAAAATTAGTTTCCCACTTGGGAATTGAGCTCAAGTATTCAGCATGAAATAGCGAAGATCCTAACCACTACCCTGCAGACACTGCTAGACGTGACATGAAGCAGAGAGTTTAAAGTATATATTAACTGTAGTAATACAACAACTCAAGTGGTTGTCTTCTCTCCTTCATATATTTTCTTTCATTAGAGACCACTCCTACTCAGCGCTTAGGGGGAAACGTTTTTTATGAAAAAAAAGGACTCTCAATGAATGATTGAACAGTTAAAAGAATTTTCCAAGGACAACAATAATATTGCTATCATTAGTAACATTGGTAAGTCACTTACTAAGTGGCAACTTTTCTCATTCTGAAGAGTTATAAAAGAATTAAAGAAAGAAAACCAAGTGACCAGCTTCTGTTGTGTGGCTGTTCAGGGCTACCCTATCACATGTCGCACGCAGGAGACCGTAGTTTGATTGCCGAAAGGGCAGAATTTTTATCATGTATCTCGGTCTTTCTGTTGTGATGTTGTAGCCCTCTCAGCCAAGGTTTGCCTTGACAGGCAGGGCCGAAGCCCGCCTCCTAAATGATCTAAATTATGCCAGTAGGGGCGTGAAAAACATCTAAACTAAAAAAAAAAAAAATCACTAGCAGTTGTTTACGTTCTTCAATTTAATTGAAATCGCTGAAACCAGAGACAAATATAGCATATACAGTGCAGTGTCAAGCTCCTTTTTCTCGAAATGTGACAACGGTATAGGATTTTTTTTAGGCCAGTGACATTCAGAAGAGGACAGATAACTCTGGTCATACTGAGTTACCCCTCTGCAAGAACTACTTCTCTCTACCAATTCAAAATCAAAATGGGCTTGCTCGACTGCACAACACTGCTGGAGTTATCCCTCTTAACATTCGCATACTTGAATCCTCCAGATTATATTACATCATATCGGTGCTGTCACAAGAAAAACGGGAAACTCCACATCACATGCCATATGACTGCTTAAACACTTTCAACTTGAAATTCCTCTTAAGCAGGACAGCTTTAACTTCCCTGTGCTTCAAGATCCCGCTCGGAAACACCCCTTCTTGTTTGTGTGGTTTTATTTCTATTCAACCAGAATAAAATAAGTTATTCCCTGCGGGATTGAAGAAGGAAATAATTGTGTGTCTGTGGAGCGAAATTTGAAGAAAAATGTGTTTAAAGCGGTTTGTGAAGTGTTTGATGAGCTGATCAGTCCCAGTCATCAATATCAGGGATAGGTGCTCAGGTGTGGGGTCATGGTAGGTTCAGGAGTTCAGGGTTCAACAGTTAAATGGAGAGTTAAGAACATTGGAGTTGCTAATTTTCTTGATACAGCCACGATGTGAAGGCTATAAGCCTATACATCTTTATAGAAAAACAAATCCTAAGTTATAGATAAACATTAGTAATCTTACCAAATACAACATGCTTCAAATCAAGAAAGTCTGTCTTTGTACATGTGATGAAAAACTGGCAGCCGTTTGTGTCTCTCCCGCTGTTCGCCTGGCCAAAGAAAAGAATAGAAACTACATTTGTATTGTCCAGGTCATCAACTACGGAATTTTAAAAATCCAAAAATTAACATCGGGCTACAGAAAACTATACAATGAAAAGGCTTTACTTTTAAGGCCACTGCTATAAACCTTTTTTGGATAAAGAAAGAAAAGAAAACAAAAAACAACCGTGCTTTAAATTTAATTCTTTAAAGATGGGGACAAGAAGTACTATGACTACATGTTCATCTGGTAAGTAAGAGTCTCGAATCTCTGACAGTTAGCTCACAGGTTCACCTGAAATAGAAACAGTAGAAGTATAAAAACAATTGTACCTATTTTATATAGACAAAAAACCCAGTGTAGAAAATAGCAATTCAAAGTTTGAGATTCTGTATCTCATAGAAAGTAGAGCATTTCTTTAACTTTGCACATCACATAACTAATTAGGTTTATCCATTGGATCTTTTGAAAAGAAGTTTTTAAAAGGATGTAATAAGAGAAAAGACATTTTTTTCAAAAGATTGTACCCAGTTGTACTTACACACTCTATTTATACTAACATATTCTAATTCTCAAAATGTACTACAGTTTTTTTACATTTTGGTTGGCAGCAAAGCAACAAACAATTCACTGTGGCAACTGCTTCAAACAATAAATGACATACCATGGACAAGATACCCGAGCATTCGTGTCTCAATTTGAAGTTCTCATCTGCAAATGGCCGCCCTGCGTAGATGCTGGTCATTCCAGTTCCGTCCCCCTGGGGAAGCCAAGGGTCATGCTATCAACCTGTTCAACACATGTACACACAGGTTTTCTCCTCTCTACACCTAGACAAAGCAAGCACTCTGGTCTATCTATCCCTCGCCCTACCTGAAGGCTACCTCGGCTATTACAAACCCTAGAGAGCTCATATTTGCGGTGGGACATCATGTATCATTGGGGATTTAAAATCTATTGTTAAAAAAAAGTAAATCTGGTTCGATTGCCATGGAAATGGCGGCCATATTGGATTTTGTATACCTATTCTGATCCCATTTTATTCACTTGTTTTTCAACAAATACACTTTTAATTTGGCAAAGTACAGATCTAAAAATCAGTTTGAGGAATTTTTTAATATATGCTTTAGTTTTCATTTTATGGTACCTAAAAATCAGCTTATTGTATAGCTGTGAAAAAAAAAAAAGAAGAAAAATCGGGATTTTGGAGGCCATTTATAAAAAAAACTACAAATGCAATCAAAAATTCCTCAGACCACTTTTAACAACTAGTCGTTTTTAACATTCTGTGAAAGTTACCTTTAAAATTGAATTTGAAACAAAGCAGAAAAATGGGATGATGTGCGTGAAAACAGCATTTTTGAGAAAACGTCCGATAAAGGTAAAAAAAGGCCAAAATAATTCTCTTTCCAGTAAAAACATTCACAACATATTTCAAACTAAAACGCGGCAACTACTTGATATTACTAACACCGCAGACATGGAAAGGAGGTTTTATACTAAAACTAAAGCACATATAAGTGGTGCAAAGAGTGGCAATTATTTTCTTCTAAAAAGTCCCTACTCTTTGCTCTAAAATTCCTTCAAACAGCACTTTAGGGTACAGAAACGCTTCCATACGTTTTTGGACATTGTTCAGGAAATATCCAGGAAATATAATAAGTGATACTCCCAGTTTTTATAATTTCACCCAAAATCACAATTTTTAGGTGCCCCACCAGCCTATGTCTCTCAGAAAGAAATTAACTTCTGGAAAAAAAACAAAAAACTTTTAGTCACTCTATCAAGCTCTGGGTATTTACGGACATTAGTACATTATGGAGATAGACATTTTGTCACACATGATTTTATTCAAAATTTGGTAGTCATTTACTTTAATAAAAGTATAAAATGTAATCTAAATGCTTAAGACACATACAACAGTTAAAGCGAACAACAGACTTATTGTAGAGCTCACTTTGCACAAACTGATAGCATGGCCCAGACTTCAAAGTTAATTTCTAGCAAGTGTGACGTGATACAGTGGAACTCAGATTCAACGAGAACTCGGATTCAACCAGAGGAGATGGATTCCCCCTTTTTTTTCCTTCTTTAAAATCAATAAAAATAACCCGGATTCAACAGGCACTTAAATCAGCAAGCTCAGATTCAACGAGGTAGCTTCCATGGTGAACAGCCCCCGCAGTCGTGGCTTTGCTCATTTTTCTCCCACAACGAACTTTATCTACTCCCGGAAACCATCTATTACCTGCATCGTGAACCATTGTTCACTTAGCCGACTGCATGCGACCAATCGGTGGCCTTCTTTCATACTAACACATGTGTTGTTGGCATGTGTGTGTCGGGGTCGGATGGGCGGCCTGCACACATGTCACTGTGTGTGCGAGTCAGAGGGCACCAGCGGTCCAGGCATGGAACGTCGCAGATACAAACGCGTCAGTCTCCCCCAACGGATCATTATTACAATGAAGCTAGTCCTGACGTAGATTTATGTAATGAATTGTGCGCTGGTCTATGGTATCTTAAGTTGCCGCATGCTAAGCTCTACAGAGCAACACAACTTTTTGGCAAACAACCAAGATGACACAGGCATGCATTTGAACGAATCCTTTTATTGTTTTTTTGTGCAAAGCTCATAATCCGACACTTCAGGCACCACTTGTTACTTCTCTTTATACATTACGTCCTACTCGCTCAAGGCCTGTAATTATCTACACAAAACCTTATGTTTGCTACAACAAACACTCGATTCAACGAGATTTTAGTTCACGCCTGGTGACCTCGTTGACATGGCCTGAGACTACACTTACTGATTTTGTACACAGTTGAACATGCTCTAACAGCCACCTGCACAAGACAGTCACCTGTACAAACAGCCACTTCCCACTTTCCTCTTTGTATCTTTTTGGTCTGTATTATTATTATTACAATGACACTGTCTAAGGCATCTTTCCTCCTTGTCAATGGGTGGCCAATCTTGGACAATTTTGACAGTAATTAAAACAATTCTGGCCTCCTATTTGAACAGACATTAAAACTTTATTAAATATATACAAAAATTACCATGACGGAC